TTGCTTCTGAATTTTACCTTCTCCAATCTGCACTCCCTTTTATCAATTCTCCTCTCTTCCTTTCCTTCTCTTATTCCTTTCCCCTCCTATTTTCTTGTATGGTAAGATAGATTTCTATACCCAACTAAGTATGTTTGTTATTCCCTCTTGGAGCCAATTCCAATGAAAGTAAGATTCAGGTGCTACCCTCCTTCCCTTTCACTATAAAGCTCTTCTGTGCTTCTTTTATATGAGATAATTTACCCTATTCTACTTCTCCCTTTCCCTTTCTCCCAGTGCATTCTTCTTTCTCACCCCATAATTTTTTTGAGATAATTATCTCATCATATTCAACTCACACTCATGTCCTCTGTGTGTACTCCTTCTAACTGCCCTAATAATAAGAAAGATTTTAGGAGTTACAAGTATCATTTTCCCATGTAGGAATGTAAACAGTTTAACCTTATTGATTCTCTTAAAGATTTCTCTTTCCTGCTTACTTTTTTTATTCTTCTCTTGAGTCTTGTATTTGAAAGATTTTCTATTCAGCTCTGGTCTTTTCATCAGGAATGTTCGACAGTACTCAGTTTCATTAAATGTACATTTTTTCACCTGAAGAGTTATACTCAGTTTTGCTGGATGGGTGATTCTTGGTTGTAATCCTAGCTCCTTTGCCCTCCGGAATATCATATTCCAAGCCCTCTGAGCCTTTAATATGGAAGCTGCTAAATCTTGTGTGATCCTGACTATGGCTCCACTATATTTGAATTGTTTCTTTCTGGCTCCTTGCCATATTTTCTCCTTGACCTGGGAGCTCTGGAATTTGTTCATAATGTTATAGGAAGTTTTCATTTTGGGATGTCTTTTAGGAGGTGATCAGTTTCTATTCAATTTCTATTTCCCCCTGTGGTTCTAGGATATCAGGGCAGTGTTCCTTTATAATTTCTTGCACGATAATGTGTATGCTCTTTTTGATCATGCCTTTTGCATGGTCCAGTCAGTCTTAAATGATCTCTTTTGAGATCTGTTTTCCAGGTCAGTTTTTCTAATGAGGTAGTTCACATTTTCTTTATTTTTTCATTCTTTTGATTTTGTTTTATTGTTTCTTAATGTCTCATAAAGTCATTAACTTCCACTTGCCCAGTTCTAATTTTTAAGGAATTATTTTCTTCAGGGAGCTTTTGTATCTCCTTTTCCATTTGGCCAATTCTACCTTTAATGAATTCTTTTCTTGAGTGAATTTTTGTACCTCTTTTTCTTTTTGGCCAGTTCTGCTTTTTAAGTTCTCTTCAGGGAATTTTTGTATTTCTTTTTCCATTTGACCTGTTCTGTTTTTTAAGGTGTTATTTTCTTCAGTATTTTTTTGTGCCTCCTTTACCAAGCTATTGATTTTTTTTCATGATTTTCTTGCATCACTCTTATTTCTCCTCCCAATTTTTCCTTTTACCTCTCTTACATGATTTTGAAAATCATGTTTGAGCTCTTCCATGGCCAAACACCAATTCATATTTTTCTTTGAAGCTTTTGATGTAGCAGTTTTGCCTTTGTTGTCTTCTTCTGAATTTGTGTTTTGATCTTCCCTGTCACCATAGTAACTTTCTATAGTCAAGATCTTTTTCTACTGTTTGTTCATTTTCCAGCCTATTTCTTGACTTTTAACTCCATGCTAAGATGGGGCTCTGCATTGGGAGTGCAGGGGGCTCTATCCCAAGCTTCAGGTTTTTGTGCAACTGTTTTCAGAGATCATTGTGGGGACCTGTAAGTTTTCACTTCTTGCAAGATGGTATGATCTAGGGAGAGGTGTGTTTACTATTCTCCTGGCCTGTGCTCTGGTCTGTGAGTGACCACAAGCAGTCTTTTCTGCCCTGGAACTGTGACTAGGGTCCCAGCTCTCCTGTGACTGCAAGCTCTGCTGTGCTAGGGCTCTTTCTTGCCCTGGGAATGAGATGAAGGACTGTGACCCAGATCCAAGTAAGGGCAATGCAACAGACTTCTGCCCCTGGTGCCAGCAAAGGGACCCCTGTGATTCTCTTCTGACTAGTTGTCCAACCCCCTTACTATTTGTGGGCTCAGAGGTCCAGCAAATGCCACTACCACCACTGATTTAGTAGGCCCAAAGCCTACTGCTGGTTTGCTGGGGCACAGCCTGCCCCTCTCACTCTGGTGCAATGGATTTTTCCTGCCAACTTTCTCAGTTTTCTTAGGCTGGAAAATTATTTCACCCTGTCTTTTTGTGGGTTCTGCTGCTCCAGAATTTGTTTTGAGACATTATTTGAAGTTATTTGGAGGAGTTTTGGGGAGAGCTCAGGCAAATTCCTGTCTTTTCTCCACTATCTTGGCTCTGCGCCCCAACGCTTTCTATCTCTATTTTGCCTTCTGGTTCTAAGAGATTTGGGCAGTTTTCTTTTTAAGATTTCTTGAAATATGAAATCTAGGCTCCCTTTTTTTGGTCATGGCTTTCAGATAGTCCAATGATTCTTGAGTTTTTTCTCCTTGATTTGTTTTCCAGGTCAGTTGTTTTTGCTGTGATATATTTTCTTCTTAATTTTCCTCTATTTTTTCAACCTTTTGACTTTATTTTAATAGTTCTTATTGTCTCATGGAGTGATTAGCTTCTGTTTGGCCCATTCTAACTTAAAGGGAGTCTGTTGCTTGGGTCAGGTTTTGTACCTCTTGTGCCAAGCTGTTAACTCCCTTTTGATTTGTTCTTCCATAGCTCTCATTTCTTTTCCAACTTTTCCCTCTAGTACTCTTACTTCCTTAAAAAAAAAATCTTAGTCTCTTTTTAAAAAACTCTCGCTTCATCTTTCCCAGGAATTACATTTGAATTTGTGCCCCAGCTATATTTGTCTTTGAGGCTTAGCTTTTAGATGTTTTGGAGTAATTTTCTTCTTCTGGATTTCCCTCTTAAGCTTTGCTGTCACCATAATAGCTTTTTATGGTGGGGTTATTTTGTTTTGTTTTGTTTTCTCATCCTTCCAGCCTATTGACTTTAGATTTTGTTAGGGCCAGGCTTTTCACATTTCTGGGGGGAAGATCTGGACTGGTCTACCTGTTGCTGCCTTTTTTGGGCATATTGAGTGTTATGCTATTTCAGGTTCTCCATGATAGCTCAGGCTGGGGACCTGAAAGGTTTTGGTGGTCCCAGGTTGTTTGATCTAGGGCAAAGTCTGATCATTGCTCCTGTGATCTCAGCCCCTTCAAGTTCTTGACCTGGATTTGCATCTGTGCAACAGGATGATGGGCTTGTTCTTTTTGGAGGTTCAGTAGATTGCCATTAATAGCCATCTAGAAAGTGATGCTGGTTGTTCCTCTGCAGGTATCAGACCAGGCTAGAATTTGTAACTGAGATCTTGCACTTTGTCTATGGTCTGAGTCACACTGCTGCCACTAACTTCTAGGCTTGCTTCTTGCTTGGTACACAGCCTAGGTTCCATGATCACTCTCAGCCTAAAACTCCCACTTCAATGCCCAAGTCCTTTGCTTAGTCTGTCCTGGATCTATGGCCCAAAGCTGAGTAGTAAATGATAGAGCTGCCAGTTATCAACTCTTCCTGCACCCAAATAATTTAGCCCCCTCTGTAATAGATCTGGGACCTCTTTTTGCCATGGTGCACAGCCCCTCCCTGTGCATGGTACATTCTTGGCCAAATCCTGTCCACATTGTCTGTAGACCTCTGTCTCCCTCTGCTACCCTGGACTGGAAAAATGACTCGCTAGGATTTTTGTCTCTTTGATTTCTCGATCAAAACTTAGCCTGATATTTTTCTAGGTCTGTTTATAGGAATTTTTAGGGCAAGGGGAACTCACTTTACTTCTTGTTACTCTGCCATCTTGGCTCCCTATCACAATGACTTTTTTTTTTAATGTAGTTGATGAAATCCTTTTATTCAGCAAAATGCTAGATATTACTATAGGAGTCATGTGATCAGCTGTCTGATGCATTCAGACCATTGACTGGTTGGAAAAAAAGTCAAAATGAAAATCAGGTCAGGGAAAGGATAATTCTTGATTGTTAACCATTTCCTACAAACGATATGAAATAGTCTCTACGTTGAGGAGGCTAAAAAGGCCCAGAAATGGCATGTGTATATAAAGTCCTATGAGATTGCTTTATTAAATGCAACCACAGAGAAGAGTCAGTCCATTAAAACTTCATCATTATTAACATTAACATTAATATCAAAAGGAGAGATAAAAACTTCAATATTTCCTAGATGTTTTGTTGCTGTCATGGAGGATGTCCTATAACTTGTATATAAATAAAATTTTGGAACTCGTTCCTTGCTTTTAACAGTCACAAGCTGCTTCCTGGTATAAAACCTTATACACCAATATTTCCCCATATAACTGTGAATCTTTAAAACTCCACAAAGAATAACAGTTTTGGGCAAACCAGAGGTGAATGGAAAGATATATGGTGGGTTCAAGGAGGCTTGAACATATCAAGAATGATTCTATAAAACATGTAGTAATGGATGTTATTTAGGAAATGCTTTATTTGAAAAGGAAATGGGCCAATTTATATAGACAGAACTAATGATAACAGATGCATGACCTAAGTACCACACTAAATATAAAGAGACCTAAACTCAGACCAAACACTTGACACTTACTAGCTGTGTGACCCTGGGCAAGTCACTTAACCCCAATTACCTTGAAAAAAAAGAGAGAAACCTAAAGGAAGATAGCCTATATTTTGGATGGTTCCTCTTCCTGACCTCTGGGAGGACATGGGAAAGAATCCCATAGGATGTTAAATGTGGATGGGGTATGAGGTGAGACACTGGAGGGTTTTACCCACCTTGATGAGGTTACAGATCTTTTGATGCTTTAAAATACTGATAGTGTAAATTTTAACAAGTTGGAAACAAATTTATAGCATTTTTCTTAGGTGAGTTACTTAAAATATGTAACTTAATTTAATTGCTTTCCTCAAGTCTGGTATATTAATAACAGTGGTTATTTTTGTTAAATGTGCCAAATATCAAAGAAATGGTTTTTGTATTCCTATTTTAACAGTGTGCAAATATTGGGCCTGCAGACTACAATTATGATGAGACTATCAGTACATTGCGATATGCTAACCGTGCTAAAAACATAAAAAATAAAGCCAGAATTAATGAAGATCCAAAGGATGCTTTGCTTCGCCAGTTTCAGAAAGAAATAGAAGAACTCAAAAAAAAGCTTGAAGAAGGTAACTACATATTTTTTAATATGGAACTTAGCATATTAGCATACCTGTCAAGAACTGTAATACAGATAACCTGTTGAATGTTTTTTGAAATTTTGAACTAAATTACACCAGAGGTTACCCTTTTAGAAGACATTTCTAGAAGGTAGTGACAATTTGGTACACTTGTATTGTTTCAGCAACCATTTGTGCTTTTTTATACTTCTGTAATACACAAGAAAAATAATTTAATCTTTGTTTTTCAAATTGATTGGTATATTAGTAGAAATTAATATTTAACATTAATAGATAACCCTGTGATGATTATGAGCTTTTTTGTTTGCCTGTCTTTACTGTAAAGATCTTTAGAATTTTAAACCTCTATAGTATATATGTAGTAGAAAGTATAGTTGTGGCTTTGAGTAACATAAAAATCAGTTCTTAGTTATTGTTGATAATGAGAGAACAAAAACATGAATTTCAGTTTATATGGTGTATGTTCCAGAAATTATTTGCATTTGGCTTTGAAAAGTATTTTTGTACTTAGACTTGAAAATGGTTGTAACCCATCACTTGATGGGTTGTGGTTGGATGGTGTTGAGGATTCTTTTTCTAAAAAATAACCAAACTGTATTCTGAAAACTTGACTTAGGAAACTGGGAAGCTCTTTAGTTTTTTAGTCTTTTTTCATCTACTTTGCTCTTTTCTGCAGTTTTATGTTGAGAATAAATGTTTCTGTAACTGATGCTAAGTTTTGATCTTTTCAAATCTTCCATGGAAGAGACCAGAGTTTAAGCATTCAAAGTTTCACATAACACTTTTTTTATTTATCAAGTAAATAAGAAGGAATTGAGCCATTTTAATCATTGTTTATCATTAAGTTAATATAGTCATATGAACTAATAAGGATCAAAGGTATCAACAAAGCAAATATCTTGTAGAAAATATGCTGTATGTAAATTTGTAAGCAGGATTTATGGGATTAAGACAGTTATTTAGCTAGTCTAACTTCAGATAATACATATGGAAGTTTAGGGTTTTAAATTTGACCACTAGGTGGTATTTATAGCCAGTATTTATAGCAAATCTTTAAATCTATAAAATTCTGGAATTCTAATAAATTATAAATAAAATTCTGCATTTATATTTATATGGAACACACCTAGCTATTAGCAAGAATTTATTAAGTAACTGCTTACCATGTGCTAGGCATTGTGCTGGGTAATAGGGATACAAAGACAGAAATAGTCCTTGCCCTTAAGGAACGTACAGTGTTTCAGGGGAGCAAATATGTACAGAAATAAATATGTGCTTAGAAGGGTAGCCTGCATAAAGGCCTGGCATATGTGAGGAATAGCAATAAGTCCAGTTTGACTTGATTGTAGAATGTAGGAAAAAGAGTTACAGAATGAGGCTGGAAACCAGGTAGGTTGGGACCAAGTTATCAAGAGATTTAAATGCCCAATGGGAGTTTATATTTGAGGTGAGACTTAATGGAGGGTTAGTGGAGTTTATTCAGTAGGACAGTGACATGGTCAGGCCTATGTTTTTGGAAAATCACTTTGACAGCTGTATGGAGGTTGAATTAGAGTGGGGAGAAACATGAGGCAGGGAAACTACTTAGGAGGCTGAGTCAGAAGATGATGAGGGCCTGAACTAGGGAGATGGATATATGAATAGTAAAGAGGGGTTGAATGTGAGAGTTGTTGTGGAGGTAGAAATGACAGGTTTTGGCAGTGATTAGATATGTGGGGGGAGAAACGGTCACAAGCTAAGGATAATTCAGGGTTTTGAACTTCAGAGATTGGAAGGATAGTGACCCTTGATGGCACTTGAGGAGTTCAATAAAATTTTTGTTTGACTACTTAGAAGATGTTTGCAAAATATTACTCGACTTCCTGTTTAAATCCTATCAAATGCAACAAAATAAATTGTGGTATTGGTGTGAACAATCCCAAATAGCCTGTGAATTATAGTACAGTATGAAAGATGTGTTAAATATATTTCTGTCCAGGAGAAGAGATTTCAGGCTCTGATATCAGTGGGTCAGAAGATGATGAAGATGAAGAGACTGAGGCTGGAGAACATGGAGAAAAAAGAAAAAAGAGAAGGGGTAAGATGTTTTAATAATAAAATTATAGAAATGAAGTTGGTTGCTTCCTTATGCTAGTTTTTGTAAGTATGTTATATGCATGTAACCTTTACAGCCATCTCCTATGTAACATCTTTTTTTTAGAAATAAAAATAGGTAGTGTTAGGGAAATATGCTACATTAGAGTAACTTTGCATGTTTTTTTCAGAATGATTTCATGATTATGGCAAGTTGATCTACATATTATAATACTGAAACATATTGACCAGCATCAATCAAAATTCCATATATAATTTTCTTGTTAGAGTTTATTGTTAATTGTTATTCTAGAAGACATACCAATTTTAAATGTTGTATGATTTTAGCTGAAACCAATTTTGATTGGATTTTCTAACTGTTCTGTGGAACCCAAGGCTTTTATAAAAATTGGCTAAGATTTGTGGAGTATTTTGTAAGCAATTTGTCTTTTAGTTATGTTTGTGAAAGCTCTAAATTTTTTTTGCATTTTAAATATGTACGTATTTAATTTCTAAATCTAATTCCTTCCTCCTCTTATAAAGTTATACCATTACACTTGCTCTGAACCTGCCATTTATCCCCAAGGGCCTATAGTACAAAAAGTGAAAGCTACCATTTCTCTACATAGAAAATGTGTTATTTTTTTTCCCAGAATATGAAACACAGCAAAAAGAAAGGAGAGATTTTATTACTTCTCCTTTCCAAAAACTTCCTTAATATTTATTTAGATCATATTGTTTTAGACCTTCCTTTTCTTCCCTTAATCATGTTGATAAATATATATAAATTTTACCTCATTATAGTTTTCTCTTATTGTTAAAATTGTGTTCTTTTAAATTTTTATGAATTTTAAAAATATATGGGTTGAAAATCCTATGCCATTTAATTCTAATACAGGGAATGCGTGAAAATGAATTTCATAAGTAATAATTTTTTAAAATGAGAGTAGTTTTCCTCCCAGAGATGCAAGTTGAAAAATTTTCAGCAATAGAATATGAAAATGAAAATCTATAAAAGCTCTGGATTTCACAAGCAGTGTTTCTGAGGTGAGAAAGAAAAGACAGAAACGCTGTTAGACTAAATGAAGGTTAATAAGTTAAAATAATTTTGGTTTTGAATTTACTAAAGTATATTTGCAGTTGTTAAAGTAAAAACTTCCTTTAAGTAATCTAGAGAGATTTAGCAGACTCAAATGTCAGAGGTGGCTCATCTCCATTCCAGCTTACTGAATTAATATGTTTTGGGTGAGTAATGAGTATTAGTAGATTACTAAGTGGATTATTTTTCTAAGATTGGTAGTATGTTTTGGCATTATGAAAGTATAGTGAATGATAGTTCTCTGAGACTGTTTTTAAAGAAAAATATATAGTATAGTCTTTAAAGAAAACTTTATAGGTCTTTCACATTCTGTATTCGAGAACTGAATTTTTCTGTTTTCATTTTCTTGTTTTTTCTTTCTTTGGTTTTCCCTTGGGATCATTTCTTTGTTTTCCAGGCAGTAGCAGCACCAGTAGTTCAGATTCTACATGCTCTGTCGTAGAGAAACCCCTGGATAAATACATGACTAGTGAGTGGGAGCTCTTAAAATCCTCTAACAAAGCTTTGACTTTACCATAACTTTTGTGCTTCATATTACAAATGCTGCACTGCTCCCTGTCATTTAAAAACAACAACAACAACAACAAAAACCTAAGGATTTTTCAGTAGGCCAAAGCATGTGGGGGTTTTTCTCTTTTGATAAACTTCCAACTAAGCAATATTATTAAACTTACACTAAGCTTAAGTTTGAGAGTCATTTCTAAATTCATGCTTTGCAAATGAGATAATGTAAAGAGAACTAGTAAGCTGTAGATGAAAGTTAATTTGTTAGTTATCATCTGTATCAGTGGGTTTTTTAATTTAGATAGTTTCTCAAAGTGTAATCTGAAATTGAAAAGATATTAGAACTCAAATTATGACTTGATTTATTTATCTCTTGTTGTACTAAATAGCGAGCCAAAGCATGCCCCTAAAAACAATTGAGTTTAATAAAAGCTTGATTAACAGCCTGTTACAGTGTTTTAATCCTATGAGGAATTCTGCCAACTTAGCTTTAGCTCTAGATTAAAAATGAGAAGAGACATATATGAGTTCTGAAGCTTTTTAGAAATGCATACAAGATGATCTTGCTTCTTTTGACATGTATTCCATTGTTTAAAAAAGTTTCTAGTAAAAATGAATTTAGTAGCAACTTAAGTGGACAGGGATCCCTATTTGGTAATACTTTAACAGTTTGATACGTGAGAGAAACGCTGAAACAGGCTTAGAAAAGTCACAGAGCTATGGAAAAATTTGTGCAGAATCTGTTTAGACTATACTTAAACAAAGACTGTTTCCTTAAACAAAAACACATTTTAATTTAATTTATTTATTTTAAAAGAAATTCATAGAGAAGAGAGAGGGAACCATGCTTTCTCAGACTAGCTGGTGGCTTACTTTCTTTTAAAACATCATATTTATACTTAACCTTTCCTAAACTAATTTATAAGACTGAATAAACATTCTCATGGTTGTAGGTCTCTGCTAAAGGAAGAATTCCAAGAACATTGACATGATCTTTCTCTGGTGACAATTATTAAGCATTTTACCAAACCAATATTAGCACCTATTTTTTTGGACCAGTATGTGTAAAAGTGATTGCAGATGTATTATACAATGATATTTTGCATTATCATAAAATAAATAAGGAAATATCATCTAAATGGGAAACCACAACCTATAATCTTAATTATATTTGTTGATTGAAAACAATTTCTTTTAGCTAGATTTTAAAACAATAATTTTAGTGAAATATATTTTGGAATGTATTTTATTTAATTCAGCAACTTGATTATAACAACATGTGCCTCGCCTCTGTTAAATTCCTTTTTCAAATGTCTTATAGTGGTATGGAGGCAACTTGGGGTTCTCAAGGTATATACCTATTGAATATGAGCTCTGGAAGGTTCTACCAAGATAGCCTTCTACCAAGGCTTTGGAGAGGCTCATGAAATGATTCAGATGATTAGTTTTTTTGCCACCACAATTCAGTGAAGATCATCTCCTAAGGCAAAGAAAGGTTGTGAACAATGTTGGTTTTACACCAGCAAAATCACAGATCCTTGAAATATTCAAGCATGTGCCTAGCACTTCTGATTAATTTTTTTTCTCACAGATGTATTTGTGTATTGGGGATTAGAGTAGTTTTCCCCAGCATGCATTTGTTGTGCATTCTCCTTTAGATTTATCTTTTGTTTAGGTTTAAAGTGCTTGATTAACTGGTTAAGGTTGACTTCTGTAGTTGCATCATAGCAATTACAATTAAGCAATCTACTAATATACTGAATGTAATTTGATGACTTGTGACATAGGGGGCATACCTTTCTGTAATATTCTTCTGAAATGTAATCTGACAAAATTGTAAAGAAATCAGATTTTGAAAAATTGTGTTTTGAATGTGCATCAAGAATTTACTTCTTAAATTTTAAAAATTTCTTAAATTTACTATTTAAAGAAAACCAGAAGTGAAAAGTTTGTTGAGGCAGAGAATCCTTTCTTAATGCAGATGACTCATAAGCTAATATTTCTGTTTTATAAGTTTGAAATATCTGATTTTCTTCAAGTAGAACACATATTTTGTTATTATCCTGTCAAGGAACATTAAAATTGGGAATTTATAGAAACAAAGTATAAGTAAAATGGGCAGTTTTGAATAAATGTGCAATTTTGCACTGCTTTCTGGGCATTTATCTTAACATTAAGTTTTCTGGCTTCATGTGTAATATAGATACAATCTCATAGTACTAAATTTGATATTGGTGAGCTTTTTTGGTAGAGTGAGCTGCTGAAGTTAGATTTTTTTTTTTTAATTATAAGCTTAAAGTAAATGAATATCCTCTCTACCCCTGACTAAATCATAACTTAACCGTGTGTACAGGCATACCTTGCATAAAATTGTGTCCTAATAATACTGTTTTATAATAACGATAATATATTACAATTAAATTCAACTGCTAATTATCCATGCATAATACATCTGTAACATTGTTCCTTTGGATTGATTAATAATAAAATTATTTCATTTGTTCGCATTTTTTGAGAACCACGAAAGGATGTTAATGGGGAGGTATGCCTGGAATCTGTTGCCTTAGTTTTATATGGGAATCTCTTTTTGCTTTGGTAATTATTTTATTTTTTGCTATAGCTACAGTATAGATTAATGCCTTTACATATTTTATTGTTTTATAAAAGAAATAATGTTTCTTTTTTCCTCCTCATCTCTATGCACATGCTTCCTGTCTACGATTTACTTACTTCTGCTTATTGCAAGATCAAGCAGGTTGGTGTGATTGATTTGCACTCCACATGGTACAGTTATTGATCTTGTAAAGGACTTGTTCAAGTTTTTTTTTTTTAATTGAGAAGAAATTACTGAGAATAATTTATTTTGGCAAGGTAAGTATTTGATATTTTAATTTTTTTCAGGGAGAACTTAAATCTTTTTTTAAGCTTTTGATTTCTAAATTCTTAACTCAATTTTTACATTATAAATGCAGATATTATTACCTCCAGCCATCTTTCCATTTTTCCTAGGTAAGGAGGGAGTAAAACTAACTCAGTTAATATTAATTTTTATTTCCATTTTCAGTTCAGTTGAATAAACATTTAAGTAAGTGCCTACTATATGTAAGGCTTCACTCCAAGTGCTGAAGATATAAAGACATAATGAAATAGTCCCTGCATTTAGGCGTTTCACATTTTGTTAGAATGAAATTTTTGTCCTTCTTTTGTCAACCTAAATAAATAAGGGATAGGAACTGTACATGTGAGTTGATTAATAGAGGGAATCCTACATAAGAAAACTCCTTCACCTAATGTAAGTTGGCACCTTCTTTACAACATATTGTCTTAGAAAGTGCCCCTCCCCGCAAAAAAACTCTCTTTATTCTAATACTGTCCAATGTAGATTAGCATAGGACTTTTGATAACCAAATCTAAAATTTTTTAAATGCTTCCTGACCTAAAACAGTATGATGCTTGTAAAAATTCATGCAGGAAGATGATCAAAACTCTTCCTTCTTTGCTTGAGAATTAATGATTTAAATTTTGACACTTACATTAACATTGACTGTAGTAACACATTATTAAAAAGGGACTTTTTAAAAAAAAATGGTAAATACATAAAATTCCTTGATAAAAATGTTACACAGAGCACAGTATAACTCAAGTTCGCACCATCTGAATATGTAATTGAGCAAATTACCTGGATGATTCAGATTTACCCATGAAATTCATGTAATAATGATATTTAATCTGAATTGCCAAGATAATTTTTTCCCTTTGATGGCAGGCACTTACTGGAATATGAAGAAGTTATTAAAGTTTTTTCCCCTTACTTTTCTTCCCCTGGAATACATTTTACTTTCTCTAGTTACAAATTTAAATGTTTTTGATATGTTTTGAGCCAGGACTGCCCTTGCTACCATTGATCAGTCTTGGGATGTATTTCTCCTCTTTGTTGTCTGGGCATACACTGAATTTTTCTTTAAAGCTTGCCTTGAAATAATCACAAAACTGAATTTTGGAAGTAAAATCAAGTGTACCCACATATTTTTCAAACTAATTTTTGTTTTGTGCTCAGCTTATATTTATGATATAAACATATCTGTATGATTTATATCTGTTTTACATATTTCATTTTGTATTTGCATAAATTATATGATTTATAATTTATTTTTTATCATAGGAGAACAAATACCCAACAAACTTAGTAAAGTTAATACATTCCCAAACAATGGTTATATTACTCCCTTTTTACCATTAATAATCTGCCTTATTATAATATTCTTTATATCAATTAACACAAATTTCATCTAATTCAAATTTTAGTCTTCCTTTCTATGTTAATACTCTGCTTTGCAACTCTTTCACCATCCTTGTTCCTAAGAAAAAGGTAATATAAACATTGAAGTCCTTGAAAAACATTCTTTGGAATTAGGAGTTACTTTATAAAAAGAAAATGAGTTTTTAGCTGTTTGGAATTCATAAAGTAAAGTTAAGGTGACTGGGCCAAAGAGGTCAACAGAGCTCACTTCTTCATTTTAACTTCTGGACTGCAATTAATCACACCACACCAGAGCATAAATGATTGGATCAAAACTATTATTTAATTTCTTATTCATCCTCTTTGTGCTATTGCTCAGTAGAATTTCTTTTTGAGCTGTATGAAATGTAGAAATAGATTGTCATCTTTGTTTTAAATTTTTATATTGAATGCTAAGCTCCTTTTCTCCCTTGGAGACTAAAGATCTCCTTTAAACTTCCTTGAAGAAACCAGAGAAAATGTGTGTTTAGAGACACATAGTCCCCCTGTACAATTATGTTTCACTTGTCTTCTCTATAGTATTTTTTCCTTTTTACAGCGGAAATGATTGACTCCGGGTAAGGAGGTCAACTGTTTAATGTCTATAAATTCTACCTGCTTACCCCTTTCTTTCTGTGGAACTTTAGGCAGAAATCAGTAATAGTAAGCATTTAGGAGTGTCAAGTCTATGAAATCAATTCTATGAAAAATTGTACTATTTCTCTGAAGGAAAGGATATGTCAAAAGTTATGTTACTAGAATTGGATTTTCTTGTATTCATTTTCACTAGTAACTTTCTTTCTTTTTAGTTTTTTTTTTTTAAATTAAAAGGTATATTTTCATTCTAGTTCTTTCATATAGAGCATTGCATTTGGAGTCAGAGCACACCTGGATTTGATTTCAGGTTTTGCTCTTAATTGTCATTGTTACCTCAGGCAAGTCATTTATGCTTCTTGGGCCTCAGTTTCCTCTTATAAATGAAGAGATTGAACTCTAACACTCTTGAAGAGCCTTTGGAACTTTAAATCTTATGATCCTATGTTTTTTATGCTAATATTTTATATTTGTCATTTAGAAGGCCTAATAATAATAGTAGTAACATATTTATATAGCACTTTTGATTTAATGCACTTTAATAATAATTCTTATTTGTTTCTTATAACAACACTATGCGGTAGGTAGTTCAAGAATTATCATTCCTGCTTTAATGATGGTGAAACTGAAAGTCATAGTGGTTAAAAAGTAACTAGACCAGGATTAGAACCAAAATCTTGTGATTCCAAGTCTATTGCTCTTTCCGTTACACCATTCTGTCTATCTGGTAAGTTTATCCATGTTTCTAAATTTGTCATGTTAATAAGTCACAGTAACTGTGAATGTATGCACATGTAGGCCACATGAACAGTAGAAGCACGTAGTAGAATCTTATAACCTCAAAGTTGGAAGGGGGCATTAGAGGTCATCTAGTCCAGTTCATAACAGGAATCCCCTTTGTATCATCTGACAATTAGTCATCTGACTTTTGCTTGAAGACATCCAGTGAGAATATACATATACATCTTATGTATATTATATTATGCTGTATCCTAGGGGGAAGTACAAAGTTTAGATAAAACATAGTCTCTACTCATAAAAAGTTATGTTCTCTAAATTCCAAATCCAATATTCTTTTAACTATATTTTACTGCCTCTGTTTTCTCTTTTTCTTCTTTCTTTTCTCTTATTAGGGCCTATCTCATCTTAACCATATATAATACTGTCTTCATCGAAAACTTATTCCATATTTCAAATAGCTAACTTAACATAAAAACATTTGTAATAACCCATTAGTAAGTTGGAGGTAATCATTAATATAAAATTTATTCACCATAAGCCATCTTAAAATATATATTGTACATATAAAGAAAATTTTACATTTTTATTAAACAAGTTTAGTTGATAGTAAAAAAAAGTTTAAAAATAGTTATAAAAACTAACTAGTTCTTATATTGATTTACATTGAAAATATAACTTTTAACAAGAACAAGTATTTGAGTTGGATATTTAAGTTATGTGCTCTGGCTAAATTAAGAAATTGCTTGGATTTTTTCCTTGTGCTAAGAAAAGGAATTAAAGGGCATGTAGCGTCCATGTTTGGGGCATTTATTGGATCCATATAATTGTATAAATTATTCTTTTTGCTTTTTATCTGTTTTCTTAACCCTATTGCATGATGGGTCTATCTTGCCTCTTTTTTTCCTTGGATGATTTTGGCTTATTGCCTCCTTGAATTTGGTGACTGCTTCAAAAAGGCTATTCTGGGCACTTGTGATATAGAAAATGAAGTATAATTATCCAGTTGGTAAATATTATTTTTTTAAACTGAGGAACATTTCACCATATTATTTTACAACCTTCTCCTTTCTCTTACTTTAGTGATAATCATGTTTAAATATAACTCACATAGGTAAAAAGAAGGTTTCCCCAGATAAGATGGTTGAAATGCAAGCAAAGATTGATGAGGAGAGGAAAGCACTTGAAACCAAACTTGATATGGAAGAAGAAGAAAGAAATAAAGCCAGAGCTGAACTGGAAAAAAGAGAGAAAGATCTTCTTAAAGCCCAGTGAGTATTAAGATCTGCTGTAATTAAAGTCTCAAATGAGATAATGTATGTTAGGCAGTTTGAAAACCTTAAAATTCTATATAAATGTCATTAACAGTAGTTTGTAATCTGGTTTAAACAAGAAAATTTGATCCCAATTAAAAATTTTATTTATCCAACTTCAGTTTCTGTTTTTTTGGAATGGAATAGTTTCATACAGATATTTAAGAATACCATTATATGTGATAAATTCAAAAGTAATTTGTTTTCATTTGTCTATGGGGAAAACATTGGTGTTACGTGTAAAATCAGTTTCATAATGGCTTTGTTTGCCACTGTTAGCGAGACACAGACTTAATACATTTTTTGAAATTATATGTTTTTTCATTCAGCAGAAATCTACCCTCTCATACTTCCCACGCCCAACAAGCCCCATTATAAACATATGTAGTCAATCAAAACAAATTTCCACATTAACCATGTCCAAAAGAAATTATCTCGTTTTTTCACTTCTGAGCCTTTCACACTCTCTATCAAGAGATGAGTAGTATGTTTCAACATCAGTCCTCTTGGAATTGTGGCTGATCATTATAAGCTGCTATAAATAATTTTGTACGTATGGGTCCTTTTCCTCTTTCTTTGATCTCTTTGGGATGTAGACCTGGTAGTGGTATTGCTGAGTCAAGGGACATAGTTTCAAATTACTTTCCAGAATGGCTGAACCAGTTCACAGTTCTTCCAGTAGTACATTGCTGTACTTGTTTTTTCTCGCAGCCTCTTTAGCATTTGTCATTTTCTGTTTTTGTCAACTATATCAAACTGGTGAGTATGAGATGGCACCAACCTTACTTTTTAATTTGCATTTCTCTAATTATTCTTGATTTAGAGCATTTTTTCATATGGATATGGATAGCTTTGATTTCTTCCTCTAAAAATTTCCTGTTCATATCCTTTGACCATTTATTAATTGAGGTTTGGTTCTTATAAATTTCAGTCCGTTCCCTAGATATCTTAGAAATGAGACTTTTATCAGAGAAACTTGCAGCAAAGACTTTCCCCCCATTTACCTGCTTCTCTTCTAATTGGTTTTATTTGTGTAAAACCTTTTTAATTTTATGTAATCCTAATTATCCATTTTGCCTCCTGTGATCCTCTTTATCTCTTATTTGGCTATGAATTCTTTCCTTATCCTTAGATTTAACAGTTATTTTCTTACTTGCTTCTCTCATTTATTTATGATATCACCCTTTATGTCTTAAGTTATATATCCATTTGGAGTTTATCTTGATATAGAGTGCTAGATGTTGGCCTATATCTAGTTTCTAGTCCAGATGATTTTGGTGAATGCTGCTTTTTAATATAGTTTGAAATTGGGAAGTGCTATTAGCAAAACCTTTCTAACTGGTTTCCCTTTCTCAAACTCTCTCCCCATTGTAGTCCATCTTCCATTCAGCTACTAAAGTGATTTTCCTAAAGATTAGGTCTGACCATGTCACTCCTTTTTCTTTTTCTCTCACTCAGTAAACTCCGATGCCTCCTTACTGCCTCTAGGATTAAACATAAAGCCCTGTTTGGAATTTAAAGCTCTTCACAACTTGGTCCCTTCTTACCATTTTAGTCTTGTTACATATTATTCTCCTCCACAGACTCTCCACAGACCATCCAGCTCTGTTGGCCTGTTTTTTTCTTCCTCATCCAGTGGTCCATCTCCTGTGACCGTGCCTTTGCAATGGCTGTGTTCTGCGCCCACAGTTCTGTTCTTCCTCACCTCAACCTCTTGGCTTCCTACAAGACTTAGCTTAAATCCTATTTTGTGCAGAAGCCTTTCCCAGCACCCTCAACCCCTAATGCCTTCCCCTCTGAGATTATTTCACATCTACTTAGTGTATATCTTGCATGTATGTAGTTATTATGTGTTGCCTCCCATGTTAGAATTCAAACTCCTTGGGGCCAGTGAAGGAGAGATTAAAGTTGCATGTGAGGGAAGATTTTATTTTGCTGGTTCAAGGTCTTGGTGGTGGTAGCAGGGAATCAAGGGACTTATAGATAAAGGGCATAAAGAAATTAGTTTTATTGAATAGGGTTATCTCTTCTGTGACTACAGGTAAGAGGATGAGAATGGGTTGTGATTCACTGACGTTTGATTGAATGGAAAAAGGCAAGGGAGATGAAGGAGCTCAATAATTAATATTCCAATTTTGAGACTCTCTGTTTTAGTTTTTAAATTTAGTAAATCTTCATGGGTTTAAATTTTTTTTTACTGGAAATCATAAATGTCAGAATAGCAGGTATTGCACTATATATTGTATTCTTATCTTAATAAACAGACAAGAACATCAGTCACTTTTGGAAAAATTATCTGCACTAGAGAAGAAGGTGATTGTTGGAGGTGTTGACTTGTTGGCCAAGGCTGAGGAGCAAGAGAAACTTCTGGAGGAATCCAATATGGAACTAGAAGAAAGAAGGAAAAGAGCAGAACAACTTCGAAGAGAGCTTGAGGAAAAAGAGGTAATGGAGACTTTTTATTCATGGTTGGATAGTTTGCTTAGCAGGGAGCTTTTTCGATGAAGAACTGAGTATGTTAAATTTTAAAGCATATGTATAGATCTCATTCAAAAATGATAATTGGCAGGTAGTTTTATAATTTTTGTCATTCCTTATTGACAAAGAATATTTTCTGAACTTGAGCAATTTTTGCCTTAGCAAGAACGCCTGGATATTGAAGAGAAATATACTAGTTTACAGGAAGAAGCTCAGGGAAAGACCAAGAAGTTGAAGAAAGTTTGGACAATGCTAATGGCTGCCAAGTCAGAGGTCAGTATCTAAAAATAACATGTAAAAATTGTTATTGGGGTTTTTTTTTGTTTTGTTTTTATATTGTCTAAATTTACACCTATGACAAAAGTTGTTCTGGAGTCCATTAACTTCATGGTGCAAAAAACCAATCAGAGATGCAAAAAGAAGTTAACTGCAGTTAATTCACTCAGAGTGAGACACTTTCCATCAAAAGTCTATGAGCATGTGTATCTGTTATAATTCAGTAAGTGGCATGTATAGCATTCTACCATTCAAGACTACTTGAGGCAAAGAGGGTAGGGAAAGAGGAGACTCCTTGTTGGTCGTGTAGAGGATGCTTATTACTAGTTACAAAGGAAAGAATGTATCTTTATTAGCATAGTCGTTCCCAAGATAAAGAGAAGAAGTAGACCTCTTCCAAGTCTTCTTTTTTCAGTCATAAAGCAATTAGAAACATCCTGATGCAGATTTCCTGCAGTACCTGCTGAGACAACAAACAGCAAAATGGTCAATTTTAACAGACCACTCTTAGCTCATAAAAATCTTTTAACATTCCTGTATCATTCCTCCTTTCACCTCTCAGACAGCCATCTCTTTTTGTTATAAGGAATTTTTTTTAAATCGGCACAACCAATCAGTGCATCAAATAGAAATAATATTAATGAAATGTAACTTTTTCTTTTTTATAACCCCTTTATTTATGTGGTACTAGTTTATATAAGGGAATCAAAAAGTGTTCCTTTAGTTTTAAGGAACAAAATAATTTTTCCAGCTCTTTTTATTGTTGAAGTTAACTTATTTTTTAAAAAATTACTCATTAAAGTGTAATTGTTACCTTCTGTGTTAGCTTAAAAATGTTTATTCTGATTTCCTTGACTTGTTTTTATGGAAAAAAGCTTTTGTAGAAGTGGTAAGGTCGCAAAAAAGTTAGAATTGTTCTTTGCTATGAAATAGGACTGATTTTACAATTTGTTTACAATATTTTCATGACTATAGATGGCAGATCTTCAACAGGAACATCAGAGGGAAATTGAAGGTCTTCTGGAAAATATTAGACAGCTTAGCAGGGAACTTCGACTTCAGATGCTTATTATTGACAACTTTATTCCTCAGGATTATCAGGTAAGTAGTGAGGGTGTCTATAATTTTTTTTTAGTTCATTTAAAACATTTATTAAGCACCTCCTTTATGAAAAGCATTGTGTTAGGCAGTGGAGAAAGATTAAAAAAAATTTAAGACTGGCATTATTCTGCTCTCTTGAACCTCATAACCTATTAGATATACAAATAATTTTTATATAAAATATAGTAATATTATAATTGGTGACCTCCATAGAAGATGTCTCTATTATAAGTCATCTTTTGTTTTAACAGCTGTCATTCCCACCACCCTTTATCAGATAATTAGCACACTATCAGCTTCCTCAACAGGTCAGGCCTTTAATGACCCCCTTACCAGGCATTTCAGTTGTTTTTAAGTAGTTTTTTTTTGTGCATTATTTGACTCTTGTACCCAAGGGAAATAGCTACTTCGTTAAGGTAATACTTTGAAGTAGGGAAATCCCTGAATGTGATGAATTCGGTACAGATTTGCTGAATGCCAGTATGACTAAATTATGATTGTAATTATAAAGTGCCCCTGACTATTCTCTATGCCTACATGCCTGGGGACATAGGCAGTCAAGAACTGATTTAACTGTATTATTAGCCAAAAAAAAAAAAAAGCTTCCAGAAATCCTTATTTGTGATTTCTGAATGACAAAAGATTTTGAACTAAGATTCACTAAAACACTATGAACTACATTCCAGATTGATTCAGTATCTGGTCACATATTCAAACATTAGTTAGATTTTCCTACACAGGAAAAGCTTTACATAGTATGGCTAGGTTTACTCAAGTCATTTCCCAAATGGCAAAATATGAGACCAAAGAATAAAAATAAAAGTTTAACATTTTCATTGTTTTTGATTATAAAGAATTTTTTTAAATGAAGCTTAAATTTTCAGTTGGACTCGTACTTCAGCATAATCTTCTTTGTGATACTGATATTTTTAAGGAAAATTGGCTTTGTTTGACCACCATAGCCACTCCACTTCAGCTTATAGCATCTTTTCTCCTGAGTGCATTGCCCTTCTACTTTGTCAGTTTGTGAACGTGGTGCTTCCTTCATATTACCGCAATGTGTTCTGCATGTTTAGGGGACATTTGCCCCGTTGGTGGCAGAGTTGTCAGAACCTAATGGAGGTTGTTCAGTCTTGATAGAAGTGATATGTAAAACGTTACTCTTTGGTTTGGGGACTAAAAAGAGCATACAAGGAAGAACTATTAGAAATCAGTCATCATTTATTAAGTACTTATACTTAAGACAGACACTCTCGTAGGCTCTGAGGATATAAAGACAAAAGGGAAACAGTCTCTGCCCTCAAGGAGCTTACAGTCTTTCAGAAGAGATGTATACTTAAATATTTACAAAATAGATTCAAAATAAAAAACGTAATTTTCTGGGAGAGGCACTGTCAGCTTTGGTGATAAGAAAAGACTACATGTAACAGGTGGTACTGGCGATGAGCTTTAACAGAAGTGAAAGTATTCTATAAGGGATCAGAGATGAGTAAGGAATACATCCTGAGCATGGGGGACAGCTCTGTAGAGAGGCTATTTGTGAGAAACAGCAAGAATGCCAACTGACTAGAACATAAAATGTAGGAAAGGGAGTAATAAAGTTAGGTTGAAGCCAGGCTTTGAAGGGCTTTAACTGAGAGACACAGAAGATTGTTTTTGATCCTAGATGAACTAGGGAGCAATCTTTGTTTATTGAGTAGGAGAATGACATGATCAGACTTTTGCTTTAGGAATATTTGGCAGTGAGATGGATGATGGAATGGACGAGAGGGAGAAATTTGGGGGCGAGAAGACCAATTAGGAGGCTGTTACAGTAGTCTAGACAGGAGATGATGAAGTCCTAAACCATAATTGTGGCCTTGTAAGTAGAGAAAAAGGAATGGATGCAAGAGATGTTGTGAAGGTAGAAATGACATGTCATCTAATTAGCTGTCAGGTTGAGGGAGAGTGAGAAGACAAGGATGACTCCAAGGTTGTTGTCTTAATACAGACTCAATGTTCAGGAGATATCAAAGCCCAGTATAAGGAGATGTGGAGCCTGCAATAAGACAGTAAAGCAAGCTAGATTTATTGAGGATAGATACTCTTAAAACAAAAGGCTGTCAGGGAGAATGATGGGAAAAGATCCATTGGGACCACAGGTGGAATTGGGTTTCCCGCTGGAACATAGAAGGAATGGGCTATCCCTTCTCAGTAAAGTCTAGTGGGTTTTTATCCTGAGTCTAGCAAAACCATACCTTAGGAGAAAGGAGCAAGGAGCCTGGACCTGGGGACTGGTGCTGATTCATGTTGGTTGGGGGAGGAAAGATTCCTGGGGAATTGGAGGCTAGTTGATATTCAAACTAACATCTGGGAAAAGGAGCTAGTCCAGGGTGGGGAACCTGTGGCCTTGAGGCCACATGTGGCTCTCTAGGTCTTCAAAGGCAGCCCTTTGATGGAATCCAGACTTCACAGAACAAATCCCTTTAATAGAAGGATTTGTTCTGTAAGACTTGGACTCAGTCAAAAGGCTGCACCCAAGGACCTGGAAGACCACATGTGGCCTTGAGGCCACAGGTTCCTTACCTAGTCTTACACTCCAGTGGGGTGATTCATCTTCCCTGTTGGGTTTTTGAGCTTTCCAGGTGACTTTTTCATTTTGCAGGTCTGGGGAGTTGTGGATCTGGATGACTAGAAAGATGGTAGTACAGTAGATATGGGAAAGTTAGGAAGTAGCATGGGTTTTGGGGAAAGATAAAATGTTCTCTTTTGGACATGCTGAGTTTGATTTGCTTACAGGATATCCAGTGGGAAATGCTTGGTGTGATATGGACTGGACCTTTAAATGTATAGATCTGGAGAATCATCTGCATAGAAGTGATAATTAATCACTTGGCCGCTGATGAGGACAGTGTGAGAGGGAGAGAGAGTGGAGAGAGGTATAAGTAGAAGGGGATAGAGAGAAAGAGGAAAGGAGAAGTGGAGAGAAGAGGGCCCAGGACAGAACTTTGGAGTATACGCATGGTTAGAGAGCAGGATATGGATGATGATACAGTAACATTTATGATTGTCAGTTGTAGGTGTTTTTGTTGTTTTTTTTTTTTTAAACTAAGATAGGCATATAGTTCATTCAGGAGAGATTTATTAAATCTCCTCTGTATACAAAACACTGTTTTAAGGAGAGAGAAAAAAAATTAAATAACGTATCATCCATAGGGAGATAAGACAAAACACGTGGTATCTATAGTATACTATATTAAGTATATTAGAGTTACAAAACAAATTGCTACATGTAATCCAAGGAAGGTTTTTATAGACTGGGTAGATCAGGGAAAGTTTCATGGAAAAGGTAATATTTGAGTTAGATTTTAAGGAATAAATAAGAATTCATCCAGAGATGATGTGAAAGGAGGACATTCTAGCCATAGAAAACAGCATAAGCAAAGGGAGAGAGATGGGAACGTGTGTGTTTGGGAGACAGAGAATAGTCTGACTAGAGCATCAATTGTGTTGAAGAGTGATATCAGATAGAGTGGTGAATCACCGAATGGTGCAGGGCCTTAAATTTTAGGCAGAGGATTTTGAATTTACTCAGAAGGCAGTAAGGAATCATGGAAAATTTTTAGGCAGAGGAGTGATACATAAAAAAAGACTGTCCTGTGGCAGAATGTACTTTCATGAAAATGACACTGTGTATTTCTTGGAGAAGTTAGATTTTAGTCATGCTATACACTGGGACCTTATTCCCAATTGCTGCTAGTTAGAACTATTATGGATCAATAAAGCAGCTGATAAATTTTTTTTTACAAGAGATTATCCTCTTTATCTATATGAAGGTCAGATTAAAGTGAGGTTAGGCATACTTGTTAGGAGACTTTTATAGTCCCAGCAGATGGCAATGAGGGTCAGTATTAGAAGGGTTGCAGTGGGATTAGAGAGAGAGAAGAATGTGAGAGGTTGCTGAGGCAGAATCTATAAGACTTGGTATCTGATGGGAAGTGAGTGAAGGAAGAATCAAATTTGATGCCTAGGTTTCAAAGATGGGAGAATTGTGGTGTCTTATGCAGAAATAGGGTCAAAAGTAGAAGCAGGCTCAGGGACAAAGATAATAAACTCAGTTTTAGACTCTGCATTTGAGGTACCTGTGATAAATCTGGGTAAAGATGTGTTGTAAACATTGGGAAATGTGGGTCTGACTCCCAAAAGGAGAGACTAGGTTGGAAAATTACACATTTGGTGTAATCCTCTGCATTGTAGTAGTAATTAGTTGAAGCTGTGTGAATGAAGGACATTGCCAACAGAGGTGCAAAAGGAGAAGAGAAGAATGACAAGGACAGACTTAGGGGTACTTAACCTGAGATCTACAGACTCCCCCTGTGACATATTTGAGGACCCAGGAACTTAAATGGGAAAACATATCTTTATTTCAATGTAGTTTGTTTCCTTTGTAATCCTGCATATTTCATTTTATGCATTTGTGCATTTAAAAAACATTTTGAGAAGGGGACCACATAGGTTTCATCATACTATCAAAGAAGTCTATGAAACAAAAAAGTTGGGGACACCCACATTAAAGAGCTATGAAAAACTGGAGAAATAATGAAGAAAGGAAAGAAGGAAGGAAGGAAACAAGCATTTATGTGCCTACTATGCGGCAGGTACTATGCTAAATGCTTTACAGATATTATCTCATTATTATCTCATTTAATTTTTGCAACTCTTGGAGATAGGTGCTATTATAGGTGAGGAAACTGAGGGAGACAGCAGTTAAGTAACTTGTCCAGAGTCACACAGCTGGTAAGTGTCCAAGGCTCCATTTGAACCTAGGTTTTCCTGGCTGCCAGCCCAGTGCTGTCTGCTTTGTCACTTAGTTGCCTCAAACCAGGGGAGTGTCCTGGAGGGGTTATTAACAGTGACAAATGCTGCAGGATGGTCAAAAAGGAATGAGAATTGAAAACAGGCTGTTAAATTTAGTGGTTAGGACAAGAGTTCTTAACCTGGATTTCAACATAATTTATTTCCTTTACAATCCTATGTGTTTTAAGCATTTAAAAACATTCTGAAAAAAGAGTTCATAGGTTTCAGCATACTGCCAAAGGAATCCATGACACACACAAAAAAAGTTAAAAATCTCTGGCTTAGAATGTCATGAGTTAACTATGAGAGAACAGTTTCAGTAGAGTAGTAATGGGAACAAAAGCCAGAAAACAAGAGAGTCCATTTAGGGAAGAAGGAGGGGGGAATTGAAATGATTGTGATACAAACATAAAGGGCATCAATAAGATGTATTTTAAAAATTAAAACAGAATCCTAACTTCTTGGCCTATAAACATTAACTCATAGCACAAATGAAAGAACTTCTATTCTTATTGAAGGATCTTTCCATGTAGTATTAACCTAAAATCAGGAACCAGTATTACATGTAATAGGGATAAATTAAAGCCTTTCCAATAAGATCAAGGGTAGAGCAAGAGTGTCCATTGTCACCACTACTTTTTCATAAAGTACCAGAAATACTTGCTATAGCAGTAAGAGAAGAAAAATAAATCAAGGAAATAAGCCTAGGCAAAGAGAAAACAAAATTACTGCTTTTTGCAGGTGATATGATAGTTTATGTAGAGAACCTTAGAGAGTCAACTAAAGATCAATTGAAATAACTTCATCGGAATTGCCAGATATAAAATAAACTATTTCTAAGTATTTCTCTATATTGCCAACAAAATCCAGCAGAAAGAGAGATGGAGAAATTCCATTTAAAATAACTAAGGCCATATAATTACTTGGAAGTCTACCTACCAAAATACATATGGGAACTATATAGGTATAACCACAAAAGAATCTTTAAGGAAATACAGATTCTAAATAATTGGAGAAATATTTATTATTCATGGATAGGCTGAGCCAATATATTAAATATGACAATACTACTTAATTTATTCATTCAGTGCCATTCCAGTCAAACTCCCAAAGGATTACTTTTTAGAGGTAGAAGAAAAAAAATAAAATACATCTAGTGGAGCAAAAGGTCAAGCATCTCAGTGAAAATAATGAAAAAAAAAATGGGCAGGAAGGGGACCGAGCAGTGCCAGTTCTCAAACTGTCCTAAAAAGCAGTAATTATCAAATGATTTGCTACTGGAACAGATTAGATCCTAGTTTTCGATAAAACCAAAGACTTGATCTATTTGGGTAAAGACTTACTTGCTGTCATTGACAGTACTGACATTGGCAAAACCTCATTCTGGAAACATTCTCACCTTGGTTTCAATCCTTCCATCCTGAATCTCTTATTTCTAAGGTCTTCTTCTCCTGCCTTTTCATGAGCTCTTCTTGACCTCTGAGGTGGATGTTCATTCAGAACATTCTGTCTTTGCCACCTCTAAGTGCAGGCTCTCTTGACAATATGTTTCCTACCTCTTCAAGGATCACCTTTATGTAAATAGTTCCCAAATCCATTTCTTCAGTTCTGCCATTCACCATTCCAGTCCCATATCCAGCAGTACCCATGGATTGTCCCACCAGTACCTGACATTCAGCCTGTCTTTTACAAAAATTTACCTTGTTTTGCTTCTCCTAACTTGGTTGTATGTGTTAGTGCACCACCATTCGCAATGTCATGTATTCAAGATAACTTGGTGTTATGTTAGCAAGTCCTTTGCATTCTGATCTATCCCCTTCTTTCTCTTCCCACTGCTTCCATTACACATAACCCCTCATTACCACCCATCTGCACAGTTGCTTTACTTCCAGTGCCTCCAGACTGTTGTTGGCGCCACTGCCAGACATATCTTCTACAAATAGACATTAGAGATAGGATCTTGTCATTAAACTGCTCAGACCCTTCTGTGGTTCCTTATTGCCTAAAAATGCTTTTTCCGGGTATTCAAGGCCCTCTATAATCAGATGCCTTCCTAATTTGGAGCTTTATTTCACACTTTTCCTTTCCACCTGTTCTTCACCCTGGCCAAACTGGAATATATAGTTTCCCACCTGACTGAATTTATTGTTTCCTCCTCTTTGCTTGCATTTTGCTCTTTACCCGGGATCTCAAACCATTCTCTCATTTCTAACTAATCCTTGCTTAGTTTCTGAAGTCCAAGCCATCCTCTAAAGCCCAGCTTAAATGCTGCCTTTCTAGAAAATTTCCGTAAGGCCCTGTTGTCTGTAATGGTCTTTATTCCCTGTCACATGGCTTTTTGTTGCACTCACCATTTCTTTTGTGTGTTCTAATTATTTGGTTGTCTCTACCAGACTCTCAGGTCTAAAAGAGCAGGGACCCTGTTTTAGCCAAACTTTGTATCTTCCCTAGTACCTTGCATATGGTACTTAATTAAATCAGTGCATTTGCAAGTCAAGACAGCACTTCCCTGATGTCACAGTTGTCTTTGAGAACAAAGGACAAACAACAACTTAATGTTTGTTGAAGTGCTGATCCCTTGTCATATTTATAATCTTTCATCTTTTTTTAAAGTTCGATTTTTGAAGAAAACATTGAAAATAAAACATTTTGAGGACTGTTTTCTTGAAAATAATCATGAAAGGTACAGATGAAACCAACCCTTTTCCCCCATAAACTTAAAAAAAAAATGTTGTTTAACATTATAAGTAAAATATCTTTACATCTTTTCAAAGGAAATGATTGAAAATTATGTTCACTGGAATGAAGACATTGGAGAATGGCAGTTAGTAAGTATACCTTTACAAGCATTAATCTTAGAATGCTTTAGAATAATCTGTTATTTTTGTCTTAGTCCCATGTTTGCTAATTAATACTTTTCTTTTTATTCAAGAAATGTGTTGCCTACACAGGAAATAATATGAGGAAGCAGACTCCAGTACCTGATAAAAAGGAGAAAGATGTAAGCATTTGGTTGCTTTTGCAGCTACCTCTGTTGCTTTAAGAATGTGGTTTATTGGGGCAGCTAGGTGGTGCAGTGCACAGAGCACCGGCCCTGAAGTCAGGACGACCTAAGTTCAAATCCGGCCTCAGACCAAACAGTTGACACTTACTAGCTGTGTGACCCTGGGCAAGTTACTTAACCCCAATTGCCTAAAAAAAATAAATAAAAAAGAATATGGTTTATTACATCATTCAGACAGCCATTTGGCCATACTGCCTTTCACCCAGGAATGGAGGCCTTTTGTGTTGTTTGTAGTTGTGGTAGGGGGAATCCTCAGGGGTAATAGTTACCATAGTCAAGGGCACAGGGGCAATTAGTGTGTCTCAGTGACTTGACTTTATTCCTCTTATCTCTACCTGTAGACAGAGGATCATGGGACTGTTTTGGAATCTGAAATGTCTATGATGATTTTTTTTTCATTGCTGCTTTGGTCTAAGGCCAACAGGGAAATGCAGCAGTGATAGAGGGAAGATTTTGTTATTTCTAAAGAAATGTGTAGCTCCTCAGGGCTTTTTTTATTTTTTGCCCCCCGAGCACTTGGTGATCACTCTTTATTCACTAGGCTTTGGATAAGAATGTCAAATTGCTTGTGTAGCAGACATCTATTTGAATTACTTTTTTAGTGACTTTTATAGAGTTTGATATTTTAAGCAAAAAAGTACATTTATGGGAATGGCATTAAAAATGTTCTATGTTTGTTTCTTTTACTTAGCCCTTTGAAGTGGACCTTTCTCATGTTTATTTAGCTTATACTGAGGAAAGCCTGAGACAGTCTTTGATGAAATTAGAGAGGCCACGCACTTCAAAGGGAAAATCAAGGCCCAAAACTGGAAGAAGGTAAGAATATTGTTAAATCTTATAAATCCTGAGCTTGAGCTATTCTAGTCATTAAGACACACATTTTATTTTTATTTCTGTTAATACAATCATGATCTTGGCTGAGACTTTAAGGATCTCATTTGAAAATTAGTTTCTTTAAGAAACATTGCATTGATTTTTCTAGCCATAGCTGTACTTTCAAAAGTGTATCTAATCAAAGGACAAAGGGTAGAATTTAAAGGGAGAGTCTTGTGTGTCTTCAAATTTTTCTAGTCCTCTTGAGTTATCTAAGGCTATTGCTTAGTCTCACTTTGTTCTTTGCAAATACCACAAAAACTTTCTGCTCTGTCTTAGTCTCAAAATCTTTTGAGTCATGAGAACTAACTAGTCACTAATCTCTTCTGGTGAGATGCCTCTTTTTCTAAATAAGCTATTCAGGAGAGGTATTTCCCAAGAGACCACCATGAAAGCCTTCATCTAATAGTCTTCCCATTTTCTGTCAGCTTAGGGAAACGTCCTTGTTCATACCTATGTATTTTCTCCTTTGAGTTTTCAGCTACATTTGTGTCAGATTGAGATTGTATTAACACCCACATCATCCATCAGCCAACTGGTGTAGAGATAGCTTATCAAGAAAAGGTTGGGCCCCACCCCCCCAGTTAAGCTTTCTTTTTTTTTTTCCTCCAACCCCATGTCCAAAATGGTCCTGGGTTTTGTTTTTTAACATCCTGTAGTGACACTAGCAGGACAGGAAGTGATGAGCTTGATTTTCCAATATTTTGAAAGATAAATATGATTATGCACTTTCATTTTTTGAGAATTGAACTTAATGAAAAGCTAGTTATGAGTACATGTTGAAGAAGTACTAACTTTTATGTATCCTAGACTTAATGGTACTGGATGCCTCTAAGGAATAGAGAAGTAGTGTATTTTTTATTCTAGAACCCTCCCTTCCCTTCCTTCTTCTCCCTCCCTCTCCCCCCACCCAGAATTCAGCTTAGTAAAAGTAATAATTTTAAAGATTATCTGTTACGAAGTATGAAATATATATCACACTGTAGAAATGCTTGTATTTTGGCCTTTTGAGAAAACATTCATTTTCTTCTTGTTTTTCCCTCCAAAACAGAAAGCGTACTGCGAAGCCTGAGACTGTAATTGATTCTTTGCTTCAGTAAACGTTTACAAATCTGAAACCACAATAAAATTAGCATATGTTCCAATGGTTGGCTTAGATATTTAGTTTACCTGAGAATATTGAGGATTTTTCTGTAATTTGATACAGCCAGGGCTATAAAATAATGCCTTACTCTGGAGTAAGAATTAGAAATGATCTTTTGTCCAAATACTGTTATGCTGTATGTGTTATATTAACATAACATGTTCAAACAGTGTAACTAGTAGTTGTTAAATTGTTGTAATGTGCACTACTACTATTTGTTTTGTGCAGGAAAATTTGAAAGACCATATTGCACAGTGACAGTGTTAGATGTGTATTTAAAGTCACGAGCTATTTACCTAATACCTTCATCGAGAGAAACTTAATTTTAAGACATGAAAAAGCTAAATATCATGTCATGTCTTGCACATAGAGACTGGCAGCTTCAAGTATCCTGTGTTGTACTGTTGTGTTTGAATGTGGTAGCTTTCATCTATGATATGGCTCTTTCTGAACACTAAATCTCCTTTTTCACTATTTAAATACTTTCTCATTGCAATGGTAGTATTTGCTGTAGTTAATGTATGAAATGAAGCAACTCATCTAAAGAAAACAAAACACATCTTTATCATGTCAACAAATAATGTACACTGACAATTTACTCCATCCTCCTTTCCAACCTTCCTGTACCTCCATTGTCTTACTGCTCATTTAAATTCAAATGAAACATACATTTTTGTTTGGGCTAATAAAGGTACCAAGCCTATGGATTTATATTTTCAGTGAATTGTCACTAATTTAAGGGTGCCACGTTTTTCACCATAAATAACTACAGATAGAGAAATTACAGGAGATCAAATAAGTTAGTAATTTAAATGACATTGTATTTCCTATGCTGAGATCCCATTTGATGTATGGGTAGGTGAATTGTTATTTTGACTGCATCTGAGTCTTTATTTGATTTTAATTACTCTTTACATTTTGCCTGAAAGAAGAGTTCTCATTCTTCAGAAAACCCTACACACTTAATGAATAAGCAAACTTAACAGAAATTAACCATTGACAAAAGATGTCTATTGAGAGCTTTGCAGATCCAACTGGTGTTGCCTTTGAGTAAGAAACTAAACAAAAACACTCACCTGGAAGATGTTTAGGGGAGAATAACTTCCTTCTCCAGCCTATTCTTCAAGCTGGAGACTTTAATTTCCCTTCTTCAGATTTCCTGTGCTTTGGAAGTGTGGAGCATACAGTTTTACCTCTTCTCACATGGTCATTTGAATGAGGCCATCTCCCTATTTAAAACTGGTTGCTTTTTAGTTATGATTAAAAAAATGTACAAAGTACTGTATTAGAAACTCATTCCTCTAGTGGTTGGTCAGCTACTTACAAAATTGATAGTTACTTTTTTTAAACATTGCACTTCTACTAACCACTAGCATTTTAATTTTTTGTGTGAATTTTTAGACTTAAAGTATTGTTAGCTAATGCTAAACCACCATGGTTCAAATGTCTTAAATCTTCAAAAACCAGTATTTATTAACTTAACATGATTTCAGTAAGCATTTTAGATGTTCATTTATGATTTTTTTAAACTAACTAAAGGGGTGGAAAATTGGTGAGTTACCTCCGAGAAGGAAGAGCACTGTGGTCCTCAAGTGTGATGAGTATAATCTGTGTTCTCTTTGTAGTGTTTGAGATGTTTTAAAATCTTTAATACTTCTTCATGTAGGATATGTGGTTAAAATACTGTGAAGGCTTTAGTTGAATTTGTGTCCTGAAAAACAGTGTTAGTAAGATTCCTTAAAAGTTGACATGTTTGTCAGAGACCTATCAGGCACTGGAGGCCAGCTGGCACTGAGGAGAGAGCAGTAGATCTGGAGTCAGAGGGTGTGGGTTCACAGCTACTAATCACCTTTGTGACCTTGAACAAGCTGTTTGACTCTCTGAGCCTCAGTTTTCTCATCCATCAAATATGGGTGTTGAATTAAGTGGCCCTTTTGGTCCCTTCCACCTCTAAATCTAAGCTTCTGTGAACTCTGGAAATAATTTCTGCAGAGAAATCTTTATTGTCCAGTGGAAGCATAGTTAGTATTTTTTTCCTTTTAAGAATACATTCTTTTTCAGTCTTTAACTCAACGAAAAAATTGTTTGCTATAATAGTATCTTTGATTATAATAGTATAACATACAATAGCTTACATTTATAAAATGCTTTAACGTTCCCAAAGCACTTTATATACATTTTCATTTGGTCCTCAACAACCTTTTGAGGTAGGGAGTATTCGTATTGTTATTCCCATTTTATTGATGAGAAATTTGAGACTCAGAGAGTTAGGCAGTATTTTGCCTGATGTCCCACAAAGCCAGGATTTGAATCCAAGTCTTCTGACTCACAATTCTTTTCACTGCACTAGATTCTACATATGATTACTTTCCGTGTCTTTTTTCCCTCAAGAGTACAACTTAAATCCATAAAAGCGAAACTGTTATATTTTCAGTGATTAAGAAAAATTAAAGTGTTTATGTTAGAACTTTTGTACTAGATGAGCATTAGTTTCATGAGATGTTGACATTAGATTTATTGACCAGGCAAATTTGGAACAACGGAGGGACTGAATTTTGGGCCATTCAGTAGTTATGATAAAGTTTACAGAACTGTTATGCGAACATGAAGTAAACTCATAAGGCTCACTATGTTTAAAATCCACAGGCTGTTTGTAGTGACTTCAGTGATAATTCCATGAAAGTGCACAATACATAGACATTCTTAAACTGAGTGGACTTATCCACTGTATGGATAAACTTGGTCTAAAGTATAAATAATTAGGTTCTCAAGTTACTATTTCTTCTGTTCTCCCTTTGACTTAAAAAGTAATAAGAATTATTTATTGAAAGTAGCATTGACAACATTGATGGGGTGGAGGTTATTAGTTTATAGTTTGTGATTTCATAACCTTTTATTAGGGTATTAAAATATAGTGGCATTCTCCATACTTTTCATAAGTCTCCATTGAATTAAATACTAGTAACTAACTACTAAAACTTCTGAATATGCACACAGAATGTTGTATATTTTTCTCATAATCACAATTGTTAGTTGGCATGTCAGTCAAAACCTTCTGGGTGGGTGGGAGGAGGGATAGTTTTTTATTTTTTACTTCTCCAATAAAAACATTTTCATATTTAAAAATTGGGTTCAATAAAAGCCGTTAGCCTTGAATGTTTTGCTTTTCCTGTGATCCATTTTAGTTTTAATATTTGTTAGGCCTTATCTCTTTTCTTTTGCTTTATAATCTGTTTTTAATAATTTCTCTTTCCCCTGAAATCATGTTTTAGAGAATCACCTCCTCTTCCTTCCAAGGGTGAGTTAAGGAAAGATCTGTTTTCCCATTAGAACTTACTGGTGTTTGGTCAAGTTTTAATGTATGTTTATATTTAATGTTATTTAATTATTCCTGGTTCTAAAATGCTAGAAAAGACATCTCCCTTAGTGCCTTTGATGAATTTACACTGTAGTCTAAATATAAACTTTTAGCACACAATGCTGTTTATGAGCCCTAACTAAATGTTGTACAGTTAGCTTCATTTGTATTATTTCATTAATTTTGAAAGTAACATTTGTTTAATTTTTATGTAAAAGTTTTATTTATGTTGTAAATACCAGTATTATATGTATACTTGCAGCATGTTCATCCTAATGAATAAAAATATTAAGGTTAATGTAGGTCTGATCCTTATCAATTCTTTCTATGCATATTTTTTCCTAGCTTGGATATTTATAGGTATTAGATATTCTTTATGCTTAATATATCATTTTATTGGGGAAGGAAATAAGCATTTATATAGTACCTACTCTGTGCCAGGCGATGTGTTAAGTACTTTACAAATATCTCATTTGAGCCTCACAACAACCCTGCAAGGTAGGTACTATTATTATCCTGATTTTACAGTTGAAGAAACTGAGGCAAACAGAGGTTAAATGGCTTGCTCACAGAGCTAGTAAGTTTCTCAGATTGGATTTGAACTCAGGACTTCCTGACTCCAGGCCCAGTGCTGTGCTACCTAGCTATTCCTAGAACAGTAGTGGTCTAGGAAAAGGGGCCAGAATCATTTTAAATCCAGAAGTTCTTACTGGTTGTTGAACTTCAAAAAAAAAATTGTTCAGAAAATTATACTTTAAATATCCATTGTATTCACAGCTCTGTCATACAACAGTACTTTGAGAGGATTTTTCTTCAAGATTGCTAGCTTTTCATTCACAGATTCTAATATCCCATAATATATTTTATTTGTAGGATTTTTTCATCTTTGAAAAAATCAGTGTGCTTGCAAGCGATTAGCCAAGTAACTTTATGGCCCAGATAAGCCTGAACATCTAATAGACATGTTGTCTTTTTTTTTTTTTAAAGGCAATTGGGGTTAAGTGACTTGCCCAGGGTCACACAGCTAGTAGGTGTCAAGTGTTTGGTCTGAGGCGGGATTTGAACTCAGGTCCTCCTGACTTCAGGGCCGGTGTTCTATCCACTGCACCACCTAGGTGCCCCCATGTTGTCTTTTTGTAGGTCAAACTTTTCAAATGGGCCTGCTTAAAATATTTGTCAGTTTCACCGACATTCCCCTAGTCTTTTATGTTCAAAACCTTGTTTTTGATTCATCACTCCTAACATTTTTCACATCTAGCTACTGCTAAGCCTTATTGATTGACACATTTCCCTTCCGTTTTATTCCATCTTGGTATAATAGGCCTTTTAACAAATTTTTCCAACTCTACATTCTTCTTCCCTGTTCTCTCCCTGACCACCCCAATTCCATCCTTCATACTGTAGTTCTAGAGTAGCTTGCTTATGCATAGATGTAGTCATCTCATGCTGAACAAAATCCTTGGCTGGTTCCCTAGTCACTAAATAAACTCCAAACTCCTTTCTCTGGTGTACACTACATGCATCAGATTACTCTCTTTTCCAAACATACGCTGCCATGTTGCCTGTGGTTATGCTGTTCCTTATGCTTGGAACACTCCTCCTCACCCTTTTCAGTGGAAATTCCCCAATAGATAACCTCATCCATAAAGGATTCCCTTGATCCTTCATTGATCTTTTCTATTGGGTACCTCAAGTAATACTTCATTTTGCACCTCAGAGGGTAGTCATCATACATTATTTTGTATCATAGCTATTTGTATATATTATTTTCCCACCAGACTACAAGTTCATGAAAACATATCTGTACTTTCTATCTCTCCTGGGGCTATGTCCTGTTTGGTTACTTAACAAATGTTTATTGAACTTAATATGAAAAGTTAAAGAGTAACAAAATAAGTTAGGTTATTACTATTATTGAATTCACTGAAGTCAGTGAGTTCATCTTATTTTTGAAAAGCCTTGTTAAAAAACAAAATAAAACTTTAGACTACTAAACTTCTAGAAGTGTTGTGTATGCAAAGGGCTATTCTCAGAACCATTTAAATGAGCCTTCATTCTACTTTTTCGTGCTTACTACCATAAGTGAAATTTCATGTAGACTTAGAACCTGGAAACACAAAGAACTGCCCTAATTCATACAAGACAGTAAGTGAGCTGTGATTTATAATTATAAAAAGAAGTAGCACATTGAGGTCAGGTTCTAAACCTAAAATTTTTTTAGAGTTTTTTTATACTAACACGTTTGGTAAAAATTATTTGAACTTATGACGTTAAGTTGTTCCATTCTCAAAGGCAGATATTCAGTCCTGCTTTGGAAGCTAAATAAGTGAATGTGTGGGAAAATGAATCTGAAAAGGCTACTTCAAAAAAAGCTAGTTTCCTCTTAGCATCTGCTAGGCTTCCTGTGACCCAATCTTCATTTCTTTTATCAATGTTATCTGAACATCATATTGTCATACTCAAAACATGTATGACTTTGAATTTCTTTAATAAAGATCAGTTACTCCCACTTTTGGAGGTTGGAAAAATTTTAGTCTTTAATTGGAGACAACTTGCATTTGTGTAGAAAGGTGCTTAACTGAGACTTTACAACTAATAAAATGTTTATCAAAGTTGATAAAAATCTTAGCAAGAGGATATTGCCTAACCGAAAAATACAAGCTGTATTACAAAATAGTCATGGGGACTTTGCTTTCTATTCCATTGTAGGTAAATGAGGGTTGAGCCTGTAATGATTCGCCCAGTACCCAGTTGTGTGTATTGTAATTGCATCCTTTTTATTATCAGCAAAAAAGTTGATTTGTGGTGGTTAGTAGAACTGTTAGGCTGAAGGTGAAAACATTATAATGAATCAAAAGTTGATTACTTTCCTCTGAACCTCTATAGTACTTAGAGTTGATGCCATTACAATCTAGCACCTCATTACGTTGCCATCTTGTATTCTGTAGTCAGCTTGTCTCCCCAACAAAACCATAAACTTCCTGAAGTCAAATATCATGTCTTAATGCATTTCTACCTTGCTGAAGGTATTCAGTGTATTTTTGTTAATCAAAATTCCGGGACAATGGTTTGACTCATCCAGAAAACTGAGACAAAAAGAAATGATTATAAGAAAGAACAAAGGAGGTGAGCTAGAGAAGGTGGGTAAAGCATTTCCATTCAGCCTTAAGTTCTTCATTTGAATGGGGAAAATCCTCTTTGCTTGCTTAGATTTAAGTTCAGGGGATCCACGATGTTCCTTTGGTGATATCTTCCCTTATTTAAACTTTGCATTTTAGTCAATTTGCCTTCTCCCTTCTTTTCTAAATGAAATAATGTATACAAAATACTTAGTGATCTTTAAAGCACTAGACAGACTTCAGGTGTTATTTTCGTGATATTTCTATGTTGTCCTTCCTCTTCTATGCCCCAACTCCATTGCCCATTTCCTAACAGGTCCTGAACACCCCCCTCTCTCTGGTAAATACGGACTCCCGCTGGAGGTACTCAGAGCCCCACTCCACTCCAATCCTTGGGTTCACTATCCCTTTCCCATTTATATGTTGTTATTTACAGGTTATCTTACCCAACTAGACTGTATGCTCCTTGAGGGCAGGAACTGTTTTTTGTTTAGGATCTCCATCACTGAGCACCATGCCTGGCACATAGTAAGTGTTTAATAAATGCTTGTTGACTGATTGACATCGCTGTGCACTCTGCTTAGATGAACAGAGAATCACTGACTGCAGTCCTGGTAAGATGGTGAACCTTGTCATTTCTCTCTAAGGTCCACTGTGCCTTAACATCTGCTCTGATGCTATGCATTCTGGATCCCTTGTGTTGCCACCTAGCCCATTTTTTGTCATATTCCCTACCACTGTCCCCTAAGGAACTCTGGGCTCGTCCATCTGTCCCTTCAGTTGAACCCTTCTGTGTGTGTTGTCTCCTCTAACGTCAGTATCAGCCCTTCTCCATTTGTATCACCACTGTGCAGTGCTTGGCACATAGTAAACACTTAATAAGTACTTTCTAGTTTTATTCAGTTATTTTTGCTTTAAGGGTTTTCTTCTCCCACTCCCCATGTCTTAGCTGGGTAAAACAGGGGTTTTTCTTCTGTGTTGTGGATGCTATTGGCAGTCAGATGAAGCCTATGAAACCCTTCTCAGAATAATGTTTTTTCATGTTTGTTTTTTGAGAGGCAATCAGGGTTTAGTGACTTGCCTAGGGTCACACAGTAAGTGTCTGAGGGCACATTTGAACTCAGGTTCTCCTGACTCCAGGGTTGGTGCTCTATTTACTGTGCCATTTAGCTGCCCTTAGAATAATGCTTTTAAATGCATAAAGTAAAATACAGAAGATTAAATTAAAAACCAGTTCTGTTGAAGTAGTTATAAAAGTATTTTTTTTAAAAAACAAGTTCATAGACCCCAGTTTAAAAAAAAGACAACAACCTTGGCTTAATAGCAGCCTAAAAGCCACCTCCTTCCTGAAGTTTTCCCTGGTTCCCCTCTCTGCTATTTTCCTTCCTTTGAGCCACCGTAATATTTTTCAATTCTTATGGCATTTTATTTTGCCTTTTTACTGTGGTTACTCACTGTAAAATCCTTGAGGTTAGGGACTTATTCTTATCTTTTTATCTTGCTTAGTACCTTACACATAGCCTGTAAATTAAATTTGTTTACTTATTAGTGTGGATATTCCCTCCACTAGTGTAAATTGCAGCCCTCCCACACCTCATCCTGTAAGATTCTTGTTTTTGGTTTTTGTTGCGCTAGGCAATGGGATTAAGTGACTTGTCCAGGGTCACACAGCTAGTAAGTGTCAGGTGTTTGGTCTGAGGCCGCATTTGAACTCAGGTCCTCCTGAATCCAGGGCCAGTGCTCTATCCACTGCACCACCTAGCTGACCTAATCCTTGTTTGTGTTTTTTCCTAAATCTGACAATTATAAGCCCTCCTTCTAATAGGATTAGGAGACCCCAGAGATGGTGACCCGAGAAAATGAACAATGAAGACCCAAGACCGCTACAGTCTCTGGATGAACTATTTTGTTCTAGCTAACTAGCACTGTGTGTTTTGACATCTGTTATGGTTATTTGTGAAACAAGTCTTATCATCCCCCAATAGATAATGAGGTCCACTCAATGCCAAACTTTGTGTCTCCTTCCCAGTGCCCTAGTGCTCTGCAGCACCTAGAGGCAGCTAGATTGCACAGTGGTTAGAGTGGGCCTGAAGTCGGGAAGACTGCAGTTGAAATCTAGTCTCAGACCCTGACCATGTGACCTTGGGCAAGTCACTTAAATCTGTTTGCCTCAGTTTCTTCAACTGTAAAAAAGGGATAATAATAGCACCTACCTCCTCAGGTTGTTGTAAGGATCAATTGATATAATATTTGTAAAGTGCTTGGCATGGTGCCTGGCACACAACAGGTGCTTAATAAATGCTTGTTTCTTTCCTTCCTTCCCATACTGATTCTTAAGTGGTTGACAGAGGAATTGAAGAATTAGAAGAAAAAAACAACACTTTCATGTGAACTTTCTCATTCTGGTCCTAAGAGGATGGCTTTCTCAATTCCTGGTTGCATAATCACTTGCCAGGCTGATCTTTTGTGGTTAAAGGGTTAGTTTCAGTTCTTTTTTTTAATTGTTTTTATTTTTCCCCTTCCCCTAACTTTTGGAGGGCTAATTATTCCTCTTTTTAAAAAATACTATGATTTTATTACTTACACTGGTGGCATTTCGTTCAAAATTACACCTAAGTGTTTTGCAGATGTTACAAATTAGTTTTGAATTGGGCCTTGTGGTTATAGGAGTATGTGGAGTAAGAAACCATTTGCCTGTTGTAACTCAAGGTGAAAAAAGAGCCCTGATATTAGACCTATTTTTTTTCTTATGAAAGTGTACTTAAACAAACAAGTTTCTAATGACTTGGCATCCCTTGAATTCATTGATGTCAGTCCTCTCAGAGATTTATTCCTATGCCAGACTCTTTGATGGTTACACTATCTTGTAAACAGTTTCTAATTTTATCTGTTTTATTTCCTCAACTAGATTTTAACCTCCTTAAAGGCAGGGACTGTCATAGACATTTTTTTTTTTTTGGTCCATCATAGCACCTAACCCAATCCTAGATCCATAATAGGCACTTCAGTAATTACTTGTTGAATTATTTCTCAAAGAAATGGAAACCCTTGACTCCATTTGCCAAATAAAAATAGCTAATACTGATGAAAATGAAATATCAATCTTAATATATACTTTAATGATACATTATAAATATATAAATATATTTAAAATATATAACTATTAGAAACTTATAAATTAAAATTTATTCTCTAAAACTGTGTGCTTTTTGAAAATATCTTCTGATTGATGGTTTTTAGTTTGCTCAGGAAATCTTGCAATTTAGTGATCTTGGTTTCATTCACAGGACATTTGGTCTGTAAAGGGAAACATTATATATCAGCTTATATCATTATTCTATTCTTGCCAGTATCTCTGTTTACTTGGGGAAAAACTTATTTTCTGCCCCTGCCTTTTGGACCCCCCATGGTATCTCCCTTAAAGCTACAAGTAGAGGTGTTCCAGGTTATTACAAATTCATTTTAGTTGAGCGTCATGTCTCTGCTAGTGGAATAGCAGGAGGCCATTTGCTTGTGTTTCGTACCAACAATTTTGTCTGCTGAAAATGACTCTCATATTTACATCAAACATATAAAACAGCTGATTGGCTATGATTTAATATACCATGTCTAACAATGGCAAATAAAATCGTGTATACAGGACATTTTGAAGGGTAACTTTAAACCCCTCTCATATTCATATATACTTCACAGGTACCTCCATTAATATTCCAAGAAATATGCTATTGAGAATGTGAGTGACTTGTCCTGTTAACCTATAAAAGCCTGAGGGAAAAATGCATGGATGGTCGGGAGAACCTATGGAATAGCAGTAACATAAAGAGTCAGGCATTTTAGAGCAAAAGAGACCTCAGAGGTCATCTGCCCCCTGCCTCCTAACTTTACACATGAGGAAAATGACTTGTCTATAATAAGGAAATGACTTGCCTAAGGTCACAGTAATATATGGAAAATATTTAGATGGTCCTTCTGAAAGTAGTGATGTGTTCTCAGACTAAATGATGAAGGTGGGCGGCAAAAGTGCCATCACTGACCTGATTCACTAAGTGCATTAGGTTCCTAAGCATGTTGCTTAGCTTAGGGAATGGGCAGCTGATGGAGACCTGTTGGAGCACAGTGACAGCTCTGCATAATGTTTCAAAGTCATTCATTGTCTAGAAAGAGAAATAGTTGTCACAGAAGCCCATATGCTCTCTCTCTGTCTCCTCTGTCTTTCTGTCTCTATCTTTGCCTGTCTTTGTCTCTCTGTCTCTCCCCCCCCCTTCTTCCCCCCCAGGCAGGATTTGTTTTCAGACCATATTTCATATATCTTTAAGGAAGACAAGTGGAGAATGAAAGTCTGCTAAACCAAACATCAAGTATGTTTTGACTGCCTAAAGTCTCCATCTCTTACACATACACAGAGGAGTGTCCAAAGTTTTTAGGATAAAAATAGAGTTAAAGGATTGTATATACTAAATGAAAAAAAATGCTTTAAGGGGGAACTTTAAAAAATCATTTTCCTTAAATATTGTTAGATTTATGTCACCCCAAGGATACACACACCATCTTGGTAGAGTGAGGTGAAGATCTATTAGCCAAAAATCACTTTGATCTTTAGTTTAGCTTGTCCAAATCTGGAGCCTTCTGTTTCTGTAATTAGAAGGTAGGAGTCTCAGAACTTCACCATCACCATGTCATGGAGAAACTGGCATTAAAGAACACTACTTCAAATGATGTTAAGGAAAGCAGCTTTAAGTATAGGCCAGACAGTGTGGAATATGACCACCCATGGGGTCCAACATTAGTCATATATCATATTTTGATTAAACCTGGGCTCCTGGAGTCTCATTTCAGAGCCAAAATAATTCACATCTGTATCTGGTGATTTTGTTCTTGAGCCTCCCTTAGCACTGCCATTCTGTCATCAGTGCTATCAATGTTAGCCTCAACAAATGGAAATCTTCTGAATTTGAAAAGCAGCTCTCTGATGGACTGGAGTTTCTCCACTGTGAATCCTTTCAAAAGGATGGATGTATTAGTTCCATTTGGTGACAAATCCTGTTGTATGTTGAATGAGTATCTCCGAATCAAAAGCGACCTCAAAGCTCACCTAGTCCAGCTTTGCACTTTAACATGCATCCTTTTGAGGCACACCCATGCTGAGTTGTCATCCAACAGTCTCTGAAGACCTCCCATGAAGGGGGAACCCCCAGAGCAAAACATTCTTCTTTTGAATAGCTCTAATTTTGCTTATCTCAAACCTAAATTCACCATTTCACAAATTTAGTCATGACTTGCTTTCTAATTTGCTTATTTCACTTCTTTTGAATTCCAGGGAAGGCTATGACTTCTAGGTCCTCAAGTCAAGTTAGTAAGCAATTATTAAGTATTTCCTATGTGCCAGGCAAGGTATTAAATATTGGAGATACAAAGAAAGGCAAAATATACAGTCCCTGCCTTCAGGTAGCTCACAATCTGATTTAGGAGACAAGCAGCAAACAAATATGTACAAATAAATAGGGAATAACCAAGCGAAGGCACTAGAATTAAGAGGGCTTGGGAAAGGCTTCCAGTAGAAGGTGGGATTTTATCTAGGACTTAACACCTCTCCTCAGACCATAATCATCTTCCCCACTGGTAACCTAGACTGCACCAGGGTTCCTAGGCTCTGATAAGTTAGCTTTTGCTGTATTTCACCAGGATGCAGGCCTCGGTGTCACTTGTTGGCCTCCTCTGTGTCATGGCCCCACAGGTACCCCAGTTATGTGCTGTCTTTCCCCAGAATGTAAGCTTCTTGAGAGGACTGCCTTGCTTACGTGCTTTTGTGTCCCCACTACTTAGCACAGTGTCTGGTGTACAGTAAACATTTACTAAATCTGTCTACTCATTTCTCTACCTATTTATCTATTGTAACACTATGAATTGTACCTCCTATTAGACGAGCTGTTGTTCTTTACAAATCACTACTTTCCACAGAAATCAGATACCCGAGATTATATCAACATGTACTCACCATGACCAGCTGAGAGCATGATGACTCCTTAGGAAACAATTTTGGAGTACTGGAATTCTTGATACACACAAACACACACACACACACAAATCCAAAAATTGGATTATTTAAAGATATTCCTTAGGAATATTAAAAAAAAACACTTTATCCTACAAATATTGCCTTTCTTGGATACAATGAGGTATTTTGCTTTCTTTGAAATAAACTTTTTGTTCCAGAAATTAATCCAATTTAAAAGAAGACAAAAATAAGACAAGGATGAATGAAAAAATACTCTGGAATTCTTTTATTTTTATTTTTATTTTTTTTTTTGCTTTTTGGTGAGGCAATTGGGATTAAGTTACTTACACAGCTAGTAAGTGTCAAGTGTCTGAGACCGGAGTTGAACTTGGGTCCTCATGACTCCAAGGCCACAGCTCTATCCACTCTACCACCTAGCTGCCCCTACACTGGAATTCTTTTAGAAGATGTCCAGCAACTTAGGGGCTGTTAAAGAGAGGGATCTCCAAACTGGCTATCCCAAAAAATGAGAACAGTACACTGAGGTTGGAGGGTGGAGTTATGAGTTACAGCCACTATGTGAGTGGACCCGCCAAAGTCAGTAAATTCTTATCTCATATGTAGTTGGAAGAGAAGTGATAGAGTGGTGGTGTCAAATTCAAAGAGAAACAGGGGCCATTAAACCATACATGAGGAATACTGTGAGTCACATATTGACTTAGAAAACCACGTATTAACATTATGCTTTATCATATTTTTGTTTTGTTAAATGTTTCCCAATTAGATTTTAATCTGGGTTGGGCAACTTAGTGGTCTGCATGTGGCCCATCCCTGCTATAGAAGCTTATATGGAACCACTCTAAGATCTGATATCATGTATGAGATTTAAAATCATGAATAATTTACAGTTGCTTCACTGACACACTTTTAAAATATTTACTGTATGCTAGGCCCTATTTCCAGAAAAGAGAAGAATGCAAAATTAAATTTGAGACATAGTTCTTACTCTCAAAGAGCTTCTCTTCTAGTGGGAGAAATGAGAGGCACAAATTATCACCATGGTGGAAAGTATCTGTTTTATAAGTTAAGTATGTACTTAGATATACAAGTTTATCATTGGATTGGAATGGAAGCATGCTGAGCGCATAAAAGGGGTTCTAAGCAAAGGGTGCTCAAATACAATAGTCAATTAATATTTTCCTACTTTTAAACCTTTGATTTCAAAAAAATGCTGACTTGAGCTCACTGTTTACAGTGGCATGGTAAGAAGGCTGGCTGGGGTCAGGAAGATCTGTGTTCAAATACTTCCTTGAACACGTGACCATGGACAAGTTGCTTAACTGTGCAGTGCCCCAAACTATTAAGTTATATGCTTAATAGTCTCTCAAACTATTAAGTTATAGACAATTGACTGATCAGTATCAGTAAAGAGAGTTTGATACTCTTTACTGAGAGTTCTTACTCTTTAGGGTGGACTAAATATATGCATATACACATATATTTTCCCCTACTTCCACATAATGCCCTAAATTTGCACTATGCTATTTATTTTTATTCCTTAGAAAATAACAATTTATTTGTATAAATCTAACAATCCAGCAGGGAGAAATTATAACTTCCTTTCTCGAATGGATTGTCTGTCCACTGCCTGCCACACTTGAGTTATATCTCCATATTGACAGACAGTTTGTATGGTATGATCCTAAAACATTCTTTTGCCCTTAAGTGATGGTACCTGGTCCCTCAAATTTGCTTCTCTACTTTTCCCCTGATTTTCACCTCTTCATAGAATTTTTTTTTCTGACTACCCAAGATAAAATCTCAATTGGCCTAATTTTTAAACCCCATATACCAGAAGTGGGGAACCTGCCTCATACCTGTGAGAGTCCTCCACAGCTCATATGTACTGAGAATGATAGGGAAAGGGTGAGATGCTATTCATCTTTCAAAGCATCATTATAAATGTTGTTATGCCATGTTCACAATAACCCTGTGCCATAGTAGGGCTGGTTTCATTCCTGTTTTAGAAATGAATAAACAAAGAGGTGAGGTGACTCACTAAAGGCCACAGGTTAATGGCAGAACTTAGATTCAAACGAGGTTGTTTTGTTTCTAGCGCAGGTCAATCATATCATGTTTTCTACCTTGTCATGTAAAAAGAAGATGAATTGGATATCTGTCATACAGTTTACATAAGTCTATTTCAATGCCTCAGTATCACCATTTGGAAGCTACAGATAGGATGCTCTTGGCTTCAATTAGACAAGTTCTAGAATTTTGTTCCTTATCTTTTTTTGTGATGTTGTTTAGAAGAAGGGACTTAGAAAGCAACTTTCAACTGCCAGAGCTGGGTAGAGGGACCTGGTCTTAGCAAGTTTTGTTTTGTTTTCCTGCATTGGTCCAGTCACAGTTGAACTCTGATCAAGAGAAGCCCAATGGAAATAAGTGCTATGAAGTCACTAAACATTGATATCATAAAACAAAACATTTTTCTTACAACAACCTTGTGAAGTAGTCAATACAACTACTATCTCCATTTTAGAGATGAGAAAAGTGGGTCTTGAGAAGTTGTGAATTGCCCCAAGATCACATAACTAGCAAGTAAATGTCAGAACCAGAATTTGAACCCAAGCTATCTGACTCTAAACCCAATGTTTTTTCAAAGCTCAAGTTATGGATTGGATATATATATATGTATGTGTATATGTATATATGTATGCACATATATACATATGCACATATATACATATGTGTGTATGGACATACATTTATATATACATATATGTATAGATATATATACATATACATATATATATAGTTACTGTGTAATGCCTTCAAATTACAGTTGAGAAGAAAGTATCAGTACTAGTGCTGTCTAATCATAGGTAATCCTGCCTCAGGGCTCTAAATGGTCTGGCCACCATTCAGGAACACATAGAAAACAAGCAGTCAAATAAGAAACGATGGTAAATTGAGACTTTTGGGCTTTCAGTCTTGGTCATGTTTCCATGAAAACAGGAACTGAAGAGCACAAAACTATTGATACAACTGTAGTGTTTGTCAGAGAAAATTCACTATCAGATGTTAAATCTGTGTCCTCCCACTATAGACGAAGGGGGATTAAGGAGACCACTTTGCACTGCTAAAATGATGGATTTTTAAGATTCTCGTTTTTTCCGTAAAGCTTTCAGAATGTTTTACCAAGACAATTAAAGCCCTAATTCTTGCTCAAGTCAGCTTTGATATAAATGTATTGTTAGATGACCAGAGAGGAAAGAGGAAAAGTGAGAATCTGTCAGTAACATTTCTATTACTACAGACCATTGCTTAGCTAAAGGGAAAGTTCTCTTAACCCCTAACATAATTATCTGCCTCTATTGGTAGAGTTTTGTCTTTGAAAAATTGACAGAAACATCTCAAGTACATTCTATTTGTACTTTGAACAGAATCTGAATTATGATGGATTTCCCTGATCATTCCCCAAAATAATCAAGATAAGAAATAACAAAACCTGTTTGTGAATAAAACTAAATGTCAATATTCTCTTTTACTGGGTAAGAATATCCCCTTTTTCCAAAGGCAGATTCTTCACAATTCATTTGTTGCGTATCTTTACAAGAGATTCTTGGCTGGATACTCTAACTCCAGTATACAGTAGTCTTACCTCTGTATCCTCAAAGATGTCCGGCACTTCCATCTCAAAGCAGGGAAACTAGCAAAGCAGAGAGAAAGAAAGTCATTGAATTACAGAAAGAAAAACATTGAACTACAGGAATCCCCACTTATTCTTTTAAGAAACATTTTTTAAAAACTACTCTGGCTAGGCAAAAGGAAGCAACTTTTAGCTTTTTATCTTTTACTGCTTTAATTGCCAGAAGTGTCCATTGTCTTCTCTAGAAGCTGTTGGATTTTCTAAGTAATACAAGAATCACCAGTATTCACTCAGACACCGATAAGAGATGATGCCCAATAGCCATTGCCTAAGTACCTTTTTCACAGTAAGAGAGTTTGCAATGTGGATGATCTCTCTGATAGAGGGTTGACAGGTCCTTCTCCGTCCTTGAACAGCATCACTGGTACATGTTAACAGGCAGAACAAAGTTGGTATCAGTTGGAATGTGAGACCCATGCTCAGATCTCTATCAACAAAGTGGCAACCGTTGATCATTAATTTACCAAGAGAAGCTAGCAGTGTGACTCTGCCCTGAGGTGTCTGTATTTATAGATTCAAAATTGCTGAAAGGAAAGGAAAGAGGGTTATTTTGTAAATTTAAAAAATCATCGGCATCTGATTATCCATCACTTCCAGGAGAGGTAGTGCCTCATAGAAAAAGGTAAAATTTTCCTGTGAAATCAGACCAATAGGAAAATGAAACCTTTTAAAAATCAACAACAAAGTTCCAGTGTAGGAAATTGCACCATATTCTGCTCTATAGATTAATCTTTCTTCTCAGCCTGGGGCTGCTATCAGCTTTTCACTTTGCATAGGAGGAGGAGGAGGCCACAGGTGTCCAAAAGTTTGTTTCAATGCAACTATGTAACCTCCTGAGAAAAGCTACATAGTAATAGCAGGAAAGTTTGACTGATACAACCTTTAGGCATGTTTCTTACTGATGGAAGGAGCACCTCTATAAGCCTGTTGCTGCCAGTGAGACTTTCCCACTTCAGAAAGATAAGAATTCATGTACTTGGGTACCTGCTTTGTCCCAATTTCCAGGGAACTTCTTCCCTGGCACTGAATGGATCCTTCCTGGACTCCAGCCTTAAAACTACCACTGATTTCAGGCATCAGCAATCTCAGGAGTGAGTACCTTATCAATGGATGCAGAGATGAAAGTCCTCATCTGGAGAGAGAAACCTCTATAAAAAAATGATTCATTTATTTTTCATTCATTCGACCATTATCCAGTTGACATCCAAGCCAGACATTGGTCTCCTGGCTGCACCATGAATAAGACACTCCACATCTTGGCTCTGGGCCAGTGTTGGGAGGTACAGAGAAGTGGAATGACTTGCCTGAGGTCCAAACCATGTCCATGTACCAACAATGTCCCCCATGCCTGGAATGCTCTCCCTCCTCTGTTCCCACTATTGACCTCCCTGGCCCAATCTCCTACTGAAAGCCTTCCCTCACCCCTCATTATTCCAGTGCTTGCCCTCTTTTAATTATTTCTTATTCCTGTGTATGACTTGCTTTGTATATATTTGTTTGCATGTAATTTCTTCCATTAAATCATAAGCTCCTTGAGGGCAGGGACTGTTTTTTAAATCTTTTGGTAATCCCAGCACTTAACACAGTGCCTGGAACATAGTAGGTGCTCAATAAATGTTTATTGAATGAATGAATTATTGAGTACCAACTGTGTGCAGAACGCCATTGTTCAGTTCTTCAGTAGCGTCCAAATCTTCATGACCCTGCAGACCATAGCACACCAATACTGTCCATGGGAGTTGCTTTTTTTTTTTTTTTTTTTGGCGAGGCAATTGGGGTTAAGTGACTTGCCCAGGGTCACACAGCTAGTGAGTGTTATGTGTCTGAGGCTGAATTTGAACCCAGGTCCTCCTGACTCCAAGGCTGGAGCTCCATCTACTGTGTCACCTAGCTGCCCCTATGGGATTTTCTTGACAAAAATACTGGAGTGGTTTGATATTTCCTTCTCCAGTGGATTAAGGCAAACAGAGGTTGAGTGACTTGCTCAGGGTCGCATAGCTAGTAAGTGTGTAAGGCCAGATTGAATTCAGGTCTTTTGACTCCAAGCCCAGAGGTCTCTTCACTGAGCCACCCAACTGCCTTCTGTGCCATGCTAAGAGCCAAAGCATTGCTTAGCATTTTTGTATTTGCCTAACACCTTTGTTCTGAAATATTCCTAGTATTTGATGGACAGAATTCTTTTTCAGGTATCTGGAAAATGTTCCCGTCAGGTACTGGATCTTTCAGGTCAAAGCAACTGAAACTCAGAGACATTTTTCATGTCATACAGGTTTTCATCCCCATCAGCTGAGCTGAGCTCATTTTTTTCATTGCAAAATTTTGGAGTTAGATTTCCTAATTTTCAGTACAGGTCACATGCTACCACATCACACCTGAGGAAGTGCAGACATTGATTTAAAACTTCTGTTTTGTGTAGATTCTTTTTTTTTTTAGGCAATTGGGGTTAAATGACTTGCCCAGGGTCACACAACTACTAAGTGTCAAGTGTTTGGTCTGAGGCCGGATTTGAACTCAGGTCCTCTTGACTTCAGGGCCAGTGCTCTATCCACTGAACCACCTAGCTGCACCTGTGTAGATTCTTTTCAAGACATTTTTATAGAGGCAGAAAAGGTTTCTAGCATAATAACAATCTCTAACATTTATGTCATGCTCTAAATTTTCCAAAGCACTTTACATACATTTTTTATCTCATTTAATTTTCACAGCATCCCTGAGAGGTAGGAATGCTAGGTATTATTGTCCTCATATTACAGATGAGGAAACTAAGGCACAGAGAAGTTTAAGGCCTTCTTTGTGGTCCCACAGGGAGTGTGAGGAGCACGGGTTGTGCCCAGGTCTTGTCATATTTCATGGTCAGTTTTTTTTTTAAATATAACATTCTGATTCTCAAGAATCAGTCCCTTTTTTCAGTTAATACAATTGAGGCTGCTAGTCTTGGGGAGAGAAAGTTGGAAGATGAGTGATTGTCTCCACCAAAAACAGGACAAGGAATAAAGTTCAATTATGGAGCAAGGGGTTTGAGTTAGACATTACAAAGAAGACAGTCATGACCAAGTCTGATGGAAAAGAGAACAGATTTCTTTTTGAAAAGGTCTGAGTTCAATTCTGACTACAGATAGCAATAGATTAGAGATTTCTTGTCATTATTGCCAGGATCTGGCCTTTACACATAATTTGCTCAGCTTTATAGAAAGTTTATGACACCCCTTCTCTAAATACAATCTCTGTCTTCTCCCTTTTCCTGTATCTGTCTCTCTGTTTCTCTTCCTTTGCCTGTCTCTATCTCTTTCTGTCTCTGTGTCTCTGTGTGTGTCTCTCTCACAAGGTGTGTGTGTGTGTGTGTGTGTGTGTGTGCACATGTCTGTACATTCACATGCACACCCTTATAAACACATACGCTTTTAAAAGTGATGTCTGGACTTTAGGGACTGAGTAAGGAGAGCTCAGACAGCTTTTTTTTTTCTTAGTGAGAGGGCTGCTAAAAGAGTAGTTATAGTAGAGAATAGGAGAGCCTAGGGGTCAGTGTAACTAACAGTAGGACAGCTCAGTAATTTTATAGATGGAGAAGCTGAAGCTGAAAAGAGGAAAGTTTTTCGACCTTAGGTAATTTCTTCTACCTGTCTAGACATCAATTTCATCATCTGGGAAATGAAGGACATATTCTAGGTGAGTAAGAAGCATATGGAATAAGGAATAGAGTGCTGGACTCGGAGTCAGCAGGGCCTGGGTTCAAATCTCATCTTTAACACTAATGGCATGACTGAGCAATGCATATAACTTCTCTGGGCCTCAGTTTCCTTATCTGAAAAATAAGGGGGTTGAACTAGATTGCCTCCATTGGCCCATCCAGCTGTAGATCTATGACCCTCTGATCATCTGTAGAGATCACCTGATCTCTACAGACTCTTCTAGTTCTGACATTTTATAATTCTAAAAACTGAGGTATTCCTGCAGGCAAAGATTGACCCCCCAAACCAGCAGAATAACTCCAAAGCATAGCTGTCTGAAAAAGAATGATTTCTGTGATCTCTTTCTTAGACCAAGATGAGATGTCTGAGCTTCTAAAGGTTGGTGTTATGAAAGCAGATTACCCCAATTTTTCCAACATGAAAAAGAAATATTCTTACGTTCACAGAAAGCTGGCTGCTGAATTTTCAATGCAAGTCCTATAGAGAATGCATTTCAGATATATCAGATCAGCAGTTTCCCTGCTTTGTTTTGATTTATTCTTTCTCAGTTCTTTTTTGCCTTTGTTAATCAATGAGAGCAGCAGTAATTTTAAAGTAGGGAGTAATACCACCAGGTCCTATTTGAATAGCACTCCTTTGCAAAATAAACACATTCTCTCATTTGATCCTCACAACAACCCTAAGAGGCAAGGCAAGGATTTGAAACCCTATTTTGTAGATGAGGAGAAGAGAATGAAAAATGGCTTGCCCAAGGTCACTTAGTCAACTTAGTAGTGGTGGAGTTTGAACTAAGCTCCCCTGACTCCCAATCCAGGACATTTCCCACAGTCCCAGGTTTCCTCCCAGAAACAGAAGAAGACCATTTTCTCTGAGTCTAGAAAGGAGGAAAAGTTATATGGGGAGAAGGAAACAGGGAGAGGAATTAAGCTGAAGGAAAGAAGCAAGCTCAATTGAAGAGAGGGAGAAGAAGGAGCCCAAGGATCAACTTGATTAGGGAAGGGACCCAATGTCTTTTCTTCTCTTCCCTCAGTCAACTAACTAGCAGATGTTAAGTATAGCTCCAGAGTTGTCAATGAATGCACAATCCAATGACTTTTCCACAGTCATCATCCTCTTTGAATTTTCTGCAACCTTTGACACTGTTGATCATTCTCTCCTTCTTGATACTCTCTTCCCTCTAGGGTTTCAGGACACCCCTCTCTCCTGGTTCTCTTCCTACCTATCTGACCACTCCTTCTCATTTCCTTTGCTAGATCTTCATCTACATTATGCCTGCTAACAGTGGGGATTTCCCCAAGGTTCTATACTGGGCCCTCTTCTCTCTATATACTATTTCTTTTGGTGATCTCATCATCTCCTATGGTTTCAATGATCATCTCTATGCAGATGACTCTCAAATCCACTTGGCCAACGCTTACCTCTTTCCTGACCTCCAGTTTCACATCTCTAATTGCCTATTCAGTATCTCAAATTGGATAACCCATAGACATCTTAAAATAAACCTGTCTCAAACTGAACTCATTATTTCTCTCCCTAAACCTCCCTTCTTTCTAACTTTTCCTATTACGGTTGAGAGCACCACCATCCTTCCAGTCCTCCAAGCTTACAATCTAAGAGTCATCCTCAACTAGTCAATTTCCAGTCCAGTTGTTTCCACTTCCGTACCATCTCTTGCATATGCCCCCTTCTCTCCTCTGACACTGCTACGCCTTGGTTCAGGCCCTTTAA